TTTTTTTATCAATTTAAAACGCTAGTGCTGCCTAATCTATGAAGGCTACGGCTAGCCTTCATACTAGGGTTGGCATTTCTGGTCTTGGGTGCCGATTTTCGTGTGTACGAAGAGTACGGTCAACACGCTTAGCAAAATAAGATGTACTGAATAAAGACAGGCAAGTATTTTCCTCGGTATTTTCCCAATCGCATGGAATAGAGCGTCAGATTAAGTGGTTATGTAATAAATACTTCGTATTTTTTCTCTCTCCGACTTACTAGATGCCATAACGATACAGCAATTCACTCCTATATAGGTATATGTAAACGCCAACCCAAGGTTTCGCTTGCCAGCAGGGTATATTAGATTAGTGCTAGTGCTATGAAGTCTAGCTAGACTTCATAGTAGGTACTAAATGCTTGGAACTCAGAAAGGCACAGAATTAAATTATTCTGGATGCTGAGGCATAACAGCATCCAAGACAACAAAAAAGCCAACTAACTAGCAAGAAAGGATCGTCGGAAACCTATTTGGGCCCAGAGTCAGTACTGGAAATACCCGATCCCGTAATGCAATAAAACTCTGGATCATGGAGAAGCAGACAGTACACTGGAGAAGTACTCAAGGGCACAGACATAGCAAGGTCTTCATCTAAGGACCTAATTCTAGATCCACAAAGGAATTGATAATGATCTGCAGGAATAAAGTGTGAATTACAACAGAGCTCTTGGCAGAGGATATATGGCTGTTAAGTGCCACCTAATCAAGCTCATCCTGTATCAAGGAAGTCTTTACTGTCGGCACTGCTGTAAAGATCATGAAACAGCAGAGCACATAATACGTTACTGTGGCTCTCGATAGCAAGAGCGCGACACCTTATAGCTGAGAGAGCAAAGCTAGAAGATGACAGCAAAGCTAGAGAAACTATGCCCCCCAGCTTATCAAGGTCCTGCGCCAACTCGTACAGGGTTCAGATTAGAAGACTGGATGTACATACAAAGATACAAAGAATAGGTCTTAGAGGTCGCAGTGTTTCCGGCATAGGACGGCCACTTAAAAACGAAAAAAAGATTGCCATGTGATTACTCAGCTTTATTTCTACATATCCTAAAGAATTTTTGTCCTTATTACTTTCTGAGGACATTCCCCCGCAGCAAGTCGTCAGAAAAGAATATAATTCATATTTAGGGTCTTCATATTAATTTAACAGGAATTTAACATAGCCAATATATTTTTTGTTTATGCTATTGATGTATTAGAATAGCAGTAGGTATATCATGAGTTGTTATTGTGATTATTGTGCTGTTGTTACAAGAACCATAATAAAAGCATATTTTGATTATAAAAAGGAAATCTACTGGAGGTTTTTTATAACACTGAGTTGTTAGTATATGGATGATATACCTATAATTGACTATCATTCGAAATAAACAAACGTTTAGCTCTTAGTTTTAGTCACGTATAGCAACTTCTAGTGCGTTTTAAATAAATATTATAACAATAAAATCAACAATTATCATGGTAGGGGGTTTAAATTTCGAAAAACAATATTTTTGTGCGCCATTGAGATAAAAAAAAATAAATAGATTTAAGCTTGATTTTACAGATTTAGACGAGTTATGTATCTAACTTTTACACTTTTATAGCCACTAAATGCGTTTTTTTTTTGGCGTGCGTTCTTTTATAAATTGTTTTTGGAACGGATGCGTGGCTAGATAGATGAGTAAAGCCGTCCACCGGTAGGCAAGCAGGGACGTATCACCAACTTTACCAGAAATCCAATGTAAGGACATCGACTCGAGGGAGGAGGGACCTGGTCAGGTCCTCACAAGGAATTGACGTCAAATCCAAGGAGGCAATAGAAGAAGAGAAATATATCCTCTATTATAGATTCCGGATAACACCTGTATCAGGTCTAAGGTGAGACAAAGTTAAAGAGGTGGGGAAAATGGAGACGGATCCTCCAGCTTCCACCTCACGGGTACTTCAGCCTTCGACAATATCCTCGAATGTGAAGGGCACGGAGAGCCAAACCCCAATCGTGGGAGGGTGTATACACTCGGAGAAAGAACATCTGTTGTCAGAGAACGACGGTAAATACCCTGTCCCCCTACAACAGTAAGATCCCCATGTATGATCAGTTATAACTCAAGAAAGGGGGACACAATAGATCTTGAAGATTGCAGTGATTAAACCCCTTCCACTCATTCTACATTCTTCAACATCTATGACCAGGGGCGCCGACTTTTATGAAATTTTTCGTGGGTGCTCATCAAATATGAGTAAATGTAACAAATTTCCAGATTGTTACATTTGTCGTATTTATTACACTTTTTTACATATGTAACATACATAACAATATTAAAAAAATACCATACCAATTTATCATTTTTACAATTTTATTGAGTATAATTTGAGTTATGCAGAAATAACATTTTTTAGTACAGATACCAATTTGTGAAAATATTAATTCTACCCATTACAATCGTGTAAGGGCGGGCATTAAAACAACAGACAGATACTTTAACTGTATTTTATAGAGATATAAAATAAAACGAAGCTAAAAGTTGCTGAGAAGAGCTACTAGTGATGATATTCGACATTTGGGGGTAGACAGCTTAGGGTTTTTATATAAACAAATTTATCAGTCAAGACTAAAAATTCTCAAAGATAAACACAATTTAATCAAACACAACGAGCTTTCCCCCACATCACATAGCACATTTCACATACTTGGTCAGCTAAATAAATTGACAGTGAGCTATCGTGGATATAAACACACATTCCTAATGTAGTTTACAATTCGGTTCCAATTTAGAATAATTATAATTAATATACAGGGAGGGTCTTAAATAAGTACAAATATTTTCAGGGCTGGTAGATCTCGATAAAAGAAACACATGTTTTCTCTTTATCATTTTTCAAATAAGCCCAAAATAAACCGAGTTATTTTACCTATTAAAAATAAAAAAATATGTATTTGATGGCCATGTTTTGAGAATCACTGTTTTTTTTTCTGGGTTTTCTTTTTTGTAAACATAATCTACTACCTATGTTGCCATAATATTAAGATATTATATTTTTTAACTAAAAATTTAAAAAATCCATTTTTTTTTCGAAAACTACCAAATTTAAAAAAAAATCACGAAAGTGTTTCGGGGGTCGAAATATACTACCCCTAAAATATTTGTACTAATTTAAGACTCACCTTGTATAAATCTATAATCTCTCTGAACACTTTTAGAGCCCCCACAAACGCACAGTTATTTATTTTTATTTTTATTATTAAACACAGGCAGACTGTGCAGGCTAGACTGCGCAGTTTAACCTGTTACAGCCTGTCGCCTGTCGCACACACACGCAATTTTATAGTACAGTTTTATCTATAATGAACTCAGTTACGGACTCACTTCGGCACATTTTTTCTAAGTAAAAATGGCCTCCCGAAATACACATCTGTCTAGGTTAGTTTAAGTAAAAACGCTGAAAAACAACGGTTACTTAAAGGAAACAACTATTGCCATGTTAATTTGCTTGCTGATTTAACAGTTGAAAAACAGGATTGGTTTAACTACCTAAGAATGAACGAGGAAACTTCCTTAGAACTACTGAAATTGACGTCTGGAATTGGGAAATAGGCTGGATGAGATGCGAGTGTCATAAAGTTGCTAAACTGATTAGTTTTGATGCTTATGCTCGTGGGTGTTTTAGCATCCGAGCACCCACGCGGTCGGTGCCCCTGTCTATGGCAACCCTCCATGGGGTGTTGTTTTATGCATTAACAAATTTTCATAGCAATCAAGACTCTCAGAACCAGTGCAACTCCTTTTTTACTATACATCCTTTTGACTTGGCTTTAGACTATGTCGAACGCATTGAATTATGGTCAAACGTCTCTTGTCTTGTTTCTTGTAATAAAGTGCATCTGCCCAACTGTTTCAATCACAAAATAAAACACAAAACCTAGTGAAGATGAACCTCAAGTAAAACCGCAACTTGTGAGTTTGCATGGTCAATATTTGGCATTTTGGCATTGAGAGTTTTTAGTAGGTATAATTTGATATCAATTAAACTCTTAGTTACGTAACCGAGGGCGTGACTTTTAAATTCAATGTTGCCAACCATGGACATATTCGGCGCCGTGTTGACTAACTGGAATTTAAATTTCGCGCTGGCGATTCAGGTGGGAGTTGTGCTGTAAAAAATGTCAAATTGCCGCATTTATTTATTTATTTCCTGACATTATCATTCGTTTTAACACTTTTTTTTGTTTGGGTACCTGGGTCGACTCAGCCTTAAATGAGTACTTGGGATTCACAATCCTGAGGTAATAGGCGGTTGAAGCTCGCTACATTACCTTCCTTGTATACCGAATGGCTCTAGTATGGCAAGGTGTACCTTGCTACTCCCAAGGCGTTAAACGCTATATACGGGAGCTATTATTATTATTATATAGTTTTGTATTCCGAGTTTTTGGTTTAAATAAATAGCGTTCTAATACTTTAAGCTTAAAAATGTTTACTAGCAGACCTTACAGTCGAACATTGCTCTTTTTACAACCTCTTTTAGTGCGAAGTGTACAAGATAGCTTAATAGCCGTAAAAACTCATCGCAACTTCAAAATATTTTGAACGGAAAAACGGTAATAACGGCTCTTTATGTCCATTAAGTGCTGTTAAGAAGGTGAGTTTTGTTGATATAAATAATAACTGTCTGTATATTTATAATTAATTTACTTTTGTTTCCTAAAATATTTTGATTAAAAGAAAATACATAAAAGTGGGCAACGCTGCGTCGGTCAAACATAATAATGTGACTAAAAGTTTATTTGGTAGGAACTTGTTGATTTGCATGGGTAATATAAATGGTAATAATCTCTATTATAAGTCCTAAAGGATTTTGACTTGGTATATGAGAAGAATCATCTATGACGCCCCACCATGGGGTGTTGTTTTGTATTTTAGAATGTTCTTGTAACGGCAAAATAAATAAAATCATCATGTAAAAATTACAGTATAAAATATATTTGCCAATAATTCAAAAAATTATTAAGCGCTTTCTTCAGCTTCATCAAATTGTATAACAGCAGCATCCTTCAAGACGCTATCGCCAATATTGAAACTGATATTCGAGATTGTTGCATCACGAGTTGCTTTAACAACATACTCCATTTTCATAGCAATCAGGACGAAAAGTGAGTCTCCCTTCTTAACTTTATCTCCTACTTTTACCAGTAATTTGTCTAAAATTCCAGGCATTGGAGCTACTGCCTTATTACCACTACTAGAAGCCAATGCATCATCTTCAGTAGAATATGTTATGTGTGGTATGACAAATTGGGTTTTTCCATTCTAAAATTAAAATGGAAATTGTAATGTTCAGTAATGTAAATATTTATTTAACAAATGTCAAAACAAATTAATTATTAATGTAGGACAATTTTCGTACTCCAAGTCATATTGGCACATCAGATATATACCGATGAATCCATTTTAAAGGAAACTATACGCAAATCTTTTCAGTAATAGTAATAACTTTTTTTAGAAAATGTGTGTTGATACTTTTTATTGTTTTTTTTTTTCATTATGCAGGGTGGTCCGAACTGTATACCGGAAACTTCGGCAGCATATTCTGCAGATAAAAATAAGTAAAAAAGTTCGTATAAATTATGTCCTAAAATGTTTAGTTTCGGAGATACAGGGTGTAGAAGTTTGTGTTTTCCAAATAATTTCTGAAGTAACGTCAATATTTGGATGAAAATTGGTGTCTGGGAGTTTTTTGACATGAGAAATTTGATTTTCTTGTCAATATGACTCCTACTTGTAGAGGGCGCCACCTACATATTTTTTAACTGGTTTGAAGAGTAATAACTTTTCGTCCATACCTGTATAAAACTACTGAATAAAAAAATGTTCATTTACGACTTTTTTTATATAAAAAAGGTCTTTTGGTAAAAATCGCTACGAGTAATGGTTTTCGAGATAGAACTTTTGACTAAATAGTTAATAAACTGAAATTATAAATTTGAAATCTTTTTATGCCAAAAGTTGAACAGAAATTGTTTAATCACCATTTTTTCGTAGAAAAATTTATGATTAATTTAAAAAAATAAAAAATTATTATTTCAGTCAAATACTCAACTTGTGCTTATTTTTTGTTAATAATGACATGTATTGACTATTTCCATTCTAAATATCTTGAGAACGGTTGCTCGTAGCGATTTTTACCAAGATACATTTTTTACGTACAAAGTCATGGAAATGTATATTTTTTTAGTTAGTAGCTCGGTTAGTAGTTTTATACCGGTATGGAGAAAAAGTTATTACTCTTCAAAACAGTTAAAACACATGTAGGTGGCGCACCCTACAAATAGGAGTCATTTTGACATCAAAATCAAATTTCTCGTGTCACAAAACTCCCAGGCACAAATTTTGATCCAAAAATTGACGTTACTTCAGAAATTATTTGGATAAAATCGAAACAAGAATGAAACTTCTACACCCTGTATCTCCGAAACTAAGCATTTTAGGACATACATTTATACGAACTTTTTTACTTATTTTTATCTGCAGAATATGCTGCCGAAGTTTCCGGAATACAGTTCGGACCACCCTGTATAGAATGATGTATTCCTCATTGGGTTTATTATACAATTCATGTTCCAGTGATACAATAATATGTCGTATTCTATATTCTATATTGTATATTGCATGGTTTTTGAAATATGACGATTTTTGACTAATTTTTAGCACATTTAAAGCTGCAATAAAATTATAAAATAGCATATTTTTATTTCTTAATAGAAAACAAATCATCTAATTTTTCATTTATTTTCAAAAAATTAAAAATTATTCAATAATTTTATCGATTTTGGTTTTAGCAAGTGTAATGTTAGGTTTGGTTAGATTGTTGAATACGTCAATCAATCCTAATTTATTTCATATACGTACTTACTAACATACCAAATCTGGTTTTTTATCTGAAAAAAATAAAAAAGTTATAGGGGTGAGCTACTTTTGCGACGCACCCGGTATAACAAATAATTTAGACTCTCTTTAAAGTATGATTAGTTGTGAAAAATTCATCATATATAAAGTATTTCCAGTTAAAAAGCCTCAATAAATGGCAACTTTTTATCTTTTTTTTTAAACTTAATACAAAAATCATAAACCAAATCATACTTCAAAAATCACTCAGTTATAAGAGAGGAAACACTATACAAGATTCGACTTAATACTTTTTTAGTGTGAAAATCCAAAATGGGAAACTCGACATGGGGCTTTGTCGGAACACTGGCCCCCTGTATGGTTTATAAAGCTTTGATTTATATGATTTATAAAGCTAAAAACTCACCTTATCAAAAACTGCTAGTATGTCACTATTCCGGAATACATTTATCCTACTTCTGTGACCATTTATCGAAGACACTAAAACGTTCTCATTATTTTTGGTATCGAGGTTAGCACTGACTTGCGTCCAAGTGATTCCATTGTCGCAAGAGACCTCATATTCTCCTTGCTTATTTAGGAATTTAATTTTAATATTGTATTCTGAAAGAGAGTTAGAAAAAAATAATATATAACTCCTATACAGGGTTCGGCAATAGTGCGTCGGGCATAGAGTTAAAAACATGGAAATTTTGTTTAAGTGCAAAACTAAAGTACTTTTTTTGGCCACCGCGTAGAGGTTAAATTATTTTCCTGAAATACCTCCTAATATATACTTTAGGCTTGCAATTAAACAAAATTCGTAAGCTTTTTATGTTAGGAGCTACAGATGCTCGACGCGCTATTGCGATCGTACGATATTATTTTTTAATATGACGAGGTTGCTTCTGATGCTAACTTCTTGTGTGCACCGTCGTTAAATGACGGTCCCTCAAAGCGTTGATTCTGATATATCAATCGTCTAGTCTAGAGCGCTAGTTTTGCGCTTCCTACTAGAGGTGGGCAAAGATTGAACGAGTCGTTGATTTAAACGAGTATTAAAAATGAATCGTGAGATTCGATTCATTGCTTAGAATACTGTTCGTTCAATTGAGTGGCCAGCACGGATCCTAACATTTGAATGATGAGCCGTAAAAAAGAGTCGTGTGAATTGAATCGGATCACAATGCGATCAGTCGTTCAGAGTCGTAAGAATTGATTCATTGCTTACAATACAATTCGTTCAACTGAATCGTGGCCAGCACGGATCCAAAAGATTTGAACGATGAGCCGTAAAAAAAAATCGTGATAATTGAATCGGATTACAATACGATCGTTCGTTTCTACGGCGCGGCGGTGATATAGGCATAGAGTCAGGCACCATTATAAACCTGAACAAAAGCCCTAAACAAACATCATGGGCATAAATAAAATGCAAACGATAAGTTATTTACAAGAAAAAAACTTATTTATACTGTGCTTAGTACGGGAGTATCTGTAAGGTATTTAATTTTCACGTTAATATTTTTGTTAAAATAATATTACCGACTATAAACCATTAAATATCGGACTAAAAGATGAAATCGTGTTTTTATGCAATTCCAAATAAATATTGTTGGCCTCTGCTCATTATGAGAGAAAAAAGGCGTCAGCGATGGTTATAAAATGAAGTCCGCTTTTAATATGTAAAATTCGATTTTAATATGTAAAATTATATGGGGAATGTCATCGATCATTTCGAAGCCAACTGAACGCCATTTTTTTTTCGATCATGCGATGTTATATTATGATTATTAAATCGGAATTAAAATATGGCTCTAAAAATATTAAATTGGTATTAAGAAGTCTTTAATAAATAGTATATATGAAATGAATTGATTTTAATATTATTGGTAAAATAATATAATCAAATTACGCCAGTGTCATAAAGTGTTGAAAAACAAATAAAGAACTGTATATTTCTTTTTCTGGTCCCTTAAGTAATTGTATGACCAAATTATTAAGTAATTGTATGACCAAAAAAAAATCGCTGGTAGTGTCAGTTACGATTCTTGTTTTTATGAAACGTAAATTGTGCATGTGGTTCGCTCAAATGAACGAATCGTAGGAGACGATTCAATATGAGAAATTAAATCGTGTGATTCGATTCACTAAAAAGAATCGTAATGCCCATCGTTACATCCTACCACAACCAGCTTTACGCATATTTCGGCCAGTGTGTCTAAAACGTTTCACTACCGTAGATATTGTAGAGCGAGGAAAGTGTATTACCCTAGCCACATATTCATAATTTTGCCCCTCTTCTGTGATTTCGCCCATTTTCAACAACAAGGCAACGGATTTTGCGCAATCTTCGATAATAAGGACCATATTCAATCACAGGTATACAAAATGTAATTGTCAATATGCATAGTCAATATGGCATTACGACAATAGTCACCTAGTCATATTAGAAAATATCATCAAAAAGTAATAATTATTGAAAAAATTGTAAATTGTTGGTGGCAAGTTCATTTGGCTCTTAAAAATTAACCAAGATGTTGACATGAGCTTAAAAACAAAATGCTCAGAAGACATAGTTCTGGCCAAAAAATAATGTTTTAGAAAAATTTACCACGAAATTATTGCACAGGGTGTTTTAAAATTTAAGGTAAAAAACAACCCTTATTAATTAATAAGCCAAATACTAAAGTTTAGAGAAAACTGAGTTTATAAATTAAAGTAGATATATTTATATACAGTTTGCTAAAAAAATCATGAAAAAAGGGCTAAAAATTAAAAAAATTACACTTTAAATTTTTTTAAAAAAAATTCCGTTGCGTTTTTTTGTATCTGAGTGTAGTTGTATACAAGTTTAATAATTAGTTTTTAAGTGTTATATAGTTTCTTGTTGTTTTCGTTAGTGAAAATACATTCTGCTAAATAAATAAGACTTTAAATTATCGTCACGGAACCTAGTAAAAATGTAACAATAATAATAATTTACAATTATTTCAATTAAAATTATCAGAGTCTAATTTAGATTTCCTATCTAAATAAAGTAAATCAACAATGTTTTATAGCTAGATGTTTGAACAAGATAAAATATAAACTTGTCGTTAATATTTTAAATTACTTTTTCTTTATAGTTTAGTCTTCGGTCAATGTGTGAAAAAAGTGAAATTAACCTAGTTATACCTATTTTTTTAGTTATACCCTTTCGTTATACCTACCCTTATCATCAAACTGCAATTGAATATTTCTAATATGGTGATAGTTAACCCTAAAATTGGCTTCGACAGTAAACGGATTGAAGCTGTCGTTTTTGAAACTAGCCACCTTCAGTTCATCCAGTTTGTCCAGTAGAACTATAGATGTAGCAGCTTGAATTAGTTGTACCTCGTTAAGTGCAACATTTTTAAATAAAGTATCTTCGTGATCTTTGATGAAGTTAGTGTGAACATTGCCTGCTTCAAATTCACCATGGTTCGCCAAATCCAGTAAGAAATTTATATTTGTTTCCAATCCTGCTATCTAATGGATATTAAACATAAAAAATAAACAAAATATAATGAAATCAAAATAATGAAAATTAATTTAAACACATCTTTGGCTTATTTCATACAAAAAAAAATATTTTCTACAATATCAGAAAATCCTGTCTTCTTTCTTTTGGTTTTGAAGTTTTAGTTTAGTAGCTAATGATGAGCAAATGCAAGACCAAGACCAAGATCTCCATGGTCTTGGTCTTGCAGGATCCAGTTTTGGGCTTGCCCTTGCTAGATATTCATCTGTTCAAACCATCACTAAATACTATGCAAGTTCGAATTTAGTGTTAAACTCAAGATCACACATATGTAATATGTCTTCAACTCTCATTATCTAACATATTTATATTATTGAAACTAAAAGAATTTCGGACTTTCTATGTGTTTATTTATACATATTTGTACCTTATGACACATATGAATCATTGTCAAAAAAAGTCAGATGTATCACTGACCGTAATCAAGTGTAAACAATTTACAAATATGGTCAACACAATGGAAATGCGATTTTTTTTAGTTTCAATACTGAATCATTATCGACTACATTTATTATACATATACATACATTATATTCCAACAATTTAACTTTTAACTTGGAAAGTGCTTCAAATCTATCATTGCCCCATACCACTAATTTTGCTATCATAGGATCGTAAAATACAGAAACATCATCACCTTGTCGTACACCTACAGATAAAATCAAGCTATAATAGCTATTAGCGATGGGAACTATCGAATGAATTAGACTATCGAATGGTTAATGAATGAATGATTTCAACTATCGAATGTTTTTATTCGAATAAAATCATTCATTCATTTGTATACTAAAGCATATGTGACAACCTCGCCGTGCAACTAAATGGTTATCGTTGAGCCACGACTATCGAATGCTTTTGACAAATGAAATTTAGTATTCGTTTGATTTTTGTATGCGTCAGTGCATTATTAGTTCTTCCAAATTTTTATAACTTCGCCGTATAAATACTGTGCTATTTTTGCGTTTATTAAAATAGTAGTTATTTTTTAATTTCATTTATTGCTAGACAGTTGAAATTGTTACAGATAATGTATCTATGTTGCCGCTATAAGAACAAATACTAAAAACAGAATTAAATAAATGTTTATAAATAAAAAAGTAGGTACTTTCACTAAACATTATCTTTTAAGTAAGAATTTTTAAGAAGTCCTCGGTGGCCGCGTGGTTAAAGCGTTAGGAGTTTACGCTCCTATGACGTTGGAGCCGTAGTAAGGCAGCTTCGAATCCTAGTCAAGGCGACTTATTTTTTTTAATCGTTTTTTTTTAATTTTTACATATTTTTACATATTTATTTTTACTTTTTACATATTTATTATTGATTAATACAATTTTTAGTAATGTGTTTCTTCATTTTTTTTTAAATTACTTATACGCGCATTCAAAATTTCAGCTAAATCGGAAAAAAAGTTTATAATAATATAGTGTTTAATGTTGTATAGACAATGAATGGTACGGAACCCTTCGTGCGCGAGTCCGACTCGCACTTGACCAATTTTTTAAAATTTCTGTTACTCGTCTTTTAAAGAAGGATTCAGTCTACTTTGGACTTTCGATATAGGCCAATAACTTTTAGGCACGGTTGTACCGTACATACTCGGTTCAGTATGAGTTCAGATATAAACCAAGTTATTATTTACTCTTATCGTTAAACTTAGTGTAAGAATTAGGTATTTGACGATTGAAATTGAACCAAACAATTAAAGTACCTGTTTCAATTCTGACATCCTCAGATGGCAAAGGAGTTTTTAGGTATTCCAATGGTCCCGCTCCTGGTAGAAATCCCCCTTGAGGATCTTCTGCGTAGATTCTAGCCTCGAATGCATGACCTCGCAACGGAATGTCTTTCTGTTTCACTGGAAGTTCTTCTCCAGATGCAACTTTTATCTGCCATTCTACCAGATCAGTACCTATTGGAATTTAAACTTTTTAAATAGCGCTCTTCATTCCTTAATTTATATTTAAATCTATTTTACTTTCTCGATGATTTCCGGCCATTCATTATAGATCATTTCTGAAGAATGGTCATCACAAAATATCACGAAGGACTTGCAGCAAGATAGATATTCTGCAGATATAATTAAAGTGAATCTACTATCAGGTAAATTGGCAACCAAATAAAATCAATCAAGCGATAGACCAATGAATAAAATTCATATTTTACTCTGCATCCCTTATAAAGAAATTAGTGACTAAATAGAGAAGATTAGCCGAAAGTACTGAATTAAAACATTGTTTTACGACTTTGGCAACGAGTGCTTTGAGCAAAACAAGTTCTAAAAATACCATAAACCATCTCAATTCACAAAATTCCTTGTGAGCATCGTGCCCTTTATATGGGCGAGATTAACGGACTTTTATAAGTACGAATCAAAATTCACTAGAAAAACATGTCAACAGATGACACCACGAAATCCTGTATCACAGAACACGTATGGATCAATCAATACAAGACAGTGGCGGACTAAGGGGGGGCGGAAGGGGCGGTCCGCCCCGGGCCCCGTCTTTTAGGGGGCCTCCGAATCTTAATAAATAATTTTTTATTCAACTGGCAAACAAGGCCAATATGTGTTGAGTAGTTATGAAGAAGTTTGTAGGAGGAATATGCAAATCATGCGTATACGCAAACTATAAACAGTATAAATGGAAGCAGATATTTACTTAATTATCAATTATCAGGCCCCAATAATTGTCAAGGGCATTTTCTATTTAGGAAATTAAATCAAGGGGTAATTTTCTTTGTTTAAAATATGGAATAATTATTATTTTTTATATATTTTGAGACTGAATTTATTTAGTTTAGCTTTTAAGTTATTTTTCAATGGTTTCATTATTTATTTTTACTGAATATACATTTTAAATTACAACCAATGCACAGCATAACTTATATTCTAGCTTCTTTACCGACGATGAGCGATGCCATCTTTAGTATATCGGGGGCCACGGGCCTGAGACAGCGAAGGGGCCCCTCGGATCTTGGAGGACTTACAAAATCGCGATATTTTGTCGCGGTATTTCCCTGGAACGGTCGCGAAAGTAACGCGGCACATATGTGGAACCGGTATTTCCATCACTTTGTTTGTTTTCGGTCATTCGGTCGAGGATTTCCTGATCTAATACTGCATGGCCCGTGAATGGTAGTAGATATATGGCTCGTCAGCAAAATTATGTTCAATAATTTAATACCTCTAATTTATTACAGTTGGGGTTGGAACCTTTGGTGTTATAACAACAAAATAAAACACTAATTCACCACAATACATCAAAACACTTTACTTTTGCACTTACTTGTTTTATTACATCAAATTGCAATCGTTTTTCGATTTAAAAATATTATTATAAGCTTTAAAAAATTGATGTTATCGTTTTTGATGTCTTTTTAGAGCTGGGGCCCTTAATACTCCGGGGGCCAGTGCCCATCAGATACCTACGTAAAGACGGCACTGCTGATGAATTTATATCTATATGGATTTTTATTATAATTATTACAGTATATAGGGTGTCCGGAAAAACGAATTATTTTAGGTACAGGAACATGCATAATCAAAAACTAACAATTTTTAAAACGAAACTAATGAAAACCTTTTCACGAGTGAAATAAGTGGATTTCCATTTGATAAAAATGATTTATGATAATTTTTTAATCGCTCAATTCCATGATAGCTGCGGCCATTATTATATGACATTCGGACAATTTAATTTTTGAAACAGATAGCCACATGTCTTCTCTTTATGGTACAGTGGTTGTGGCAATCACACTAAATTTGACGTTTAGGCTATACAGGTTGTTAACTCGACAGTTACTTATAGGGGAACAGAATGGCAACACTGCCTATTGAGAACGCATGCACTTATAGGGTTTTCTGCCGACTCGTCCCGTCCGTCGCGTCGTCTATCGTCGAGCGGGCCGAGGTTGCCATATTTCAACCATAAAGCTCTTGCCGCGAGTAATAAACAAATTAACAACCTGTATACATATTTTTAACAGGCAGTTTTTTTCCTCCAAAAATTATAAATATTTTTTTTTCTCAAAAACGGTTAACGTTAGGTATAGAGTGTTTAATATTAAAATTCATAAAATTTTATAGGAAAAAAAATTTTAAATTGGGACACCCATTTAAAATAAGAAAATTGCTGTCAACTTCCAGTACTTCCGGAAGTGCCGCCATATTGAAAATATTTTTAATCGATAGATCTCGTTGTGAAACAATGATATGCAAAAAATCTTGTATGTAGATATTGTAGTTCTCTAGAAACTTCTAATGCGGGCTCAGCCTGGGACACCCTGTATAAATACTTGAATTTTGCCAACCATTATACATACGTCTTTCAATTTTTACAAAATGTGTATTAGAAGTATATCATTATCTAAACAGACCGGGGGCCACATTTAGCTTCGCCGCCCCGGGCCCCCGACATGCTTAGTCCGCCACTGATACAAGATACAGTGATCGGATGTGAAAATAATTAATGAGCCAGTACAAGAGCAGTACTAGTTTAGCCCCTGACATAGGTCTAAAAATTTGAACACTCTTCATTCGGGCCAGAGCGTTAATATTAAAAACATGTGGAAATTCCTCATCAGCCACTTGAAGAATTTAACGCTACATCAGTAATTTCGTCATTCGTCATTTCATTTTACGTGATCCAGTCAAACTGACCGATATTTAAGGAGTTGTTTTAGTAATCTTAATCCGGTGTTTAACCATAGTAAATTTTTGTTATTTTTAATATAAAATTCAATTGAAGTGATTAAAAAGTACTCTCTCAATACAAAAAGAAATGCAACGAAGTTACAATTAAGGAATAAATAACAAATCAAATTCAATACAAATTTCACTGGTTTGAAATGACGCGAATTGTGATGTCACCTATCAGCATTTGACTGAATAGTTGACAGAGTGCGCTCCAGCCTCTGAAGAATAATATTATGGCGTGTCTAGTTCTCTGCTACCGTATTTACGCCGTATATCTTAAAATCACGTTAGATTTTTCTATTTTTATTAAGATCGTTAAAAAATACGTTTTTATGTGGGATTATTCTTTATTACCCCAATATTAAATTTACTTTTATATCTAGAAATTAAAACTTAAATTTTTATAATTAACAGGTTACTGCCATTTTTATCGAAGCATTAAACACTCTCTAAAGATGCCTGCAGCGGAGTGGATGTTAGTATTTGGGACATTTGTTTTCTTTTTTTAAAGAGTGGTTTTTCTAAACGGTCTTGTCTCCATCTTCGGTTGCGTTTTCGTCGGAGACCTCTGTAATGTCTGTTGAAAAGCTATCGCTGGAAGATGACCTGCGCTGACGCTTTTTTTTCTCTAAATTAGCACGCGGCTTCGTATTATAGGTTTCCAGTGGCGGTGTAGTTTGACACATATTTTTTATAGTAGCTTTTGGGTGGTACATATGATGAGTCTGAAGCCGTACTAGTTCCGGGCTTCGAATCTAAATAAACCGAATTTTCGGGAGAAAAGCTTAATTCGCTAGCTTCTCTTTCGATGTCGGAATTTGCTCCTACTGTTGCTTCTACTGACATTTCAGTAAATTCTTCCTCATCAAATAGGTTTCTGTCTAACGGAAATATACCCGTATTTTTAAACCCATTTAAACCTTTTTCTTTAGAAGTGATGCGATTAAAAGCTTTGTCAAAGAGCTCTGCGATGTCAGTCACTTCAATTTTGCTATAATGATGGGTCTTCATATGAAGATCGCTTTCCTTACTATATGCTGTCTTTAGTGAACTGAAAAATGTGACGTCCAGAGGCTGGAGCCGGTGGGAAGTGTGTGGGGGCAGTGAAACAAGAACAATCCCGTTTTCATGACAGAATTTATAAGACTTCAAGGAAGAGTGTGCGGTATGATTATCTAAAATTACTAGCACTGGATCTACAGTAGAGACATTTACATATTGAGCGAAATGCTTTAACCACTCCAGAAATAAATCTTCAGTGATCCATCCTGACTTCGAGCAACGGTAGACTGCATCTACAGGTCCATTTTTTTTCTAGAGCGACATTCATACGTTCGCGTTTAAAAATAAACATTGGCGGCACGAAGTCTCTTGCGGCACTCATACAACATACAACAGTGGTTGTCTGACCCCTTTCGCCACTTGTAATTGCACCCACCTGTTTTCTCCCTTTTTCCGTCAAAACTCGATGAGGTTTATGTACTCCACTAATTCCCGTCTCATCCACGTTACAAATGCGTCTTGCAGGAAATTTATATTTTTCAAAGACTAGTTCTAAATTGTCGTAAAATAAGTTCACATCTTTTCGATTAAACGCAATTACTCGGTTAAGACTGGTAGCTTCTGGACGTCTGATAGAAATTCGAAAAAAAAAACGCAGGTTTTCTTTTCGACGTTAAAATTAGGTGGAAAGTTGATTTTACTTGGTGTCAATCCGTAGAACATGTTTGCCAATTTTAAAATATGACTTGCCAGTTCTGTCTCTTGATCTTCATTTAATACAGGTTTCCTACCTAATTTTACTTTTTTACTAGGATACCTGTTTTTCAATCTGTCGCATAACGTGGCATGTGGTACTCCATTTAATTTTGCCGCCTTTCTAATGGACTGTGTCTTCTGTTCAACCGCCTTCACAGCCCATTTCATATTTTCCTCAGACCATGCAGAGCGGTTTGTCTTACGAAAATATTTTTTTGGGGGCATCTGCAAAGAATATAAGGCATTAGGCCAATATCGATCATAGGCGTGTAATATCGATCATGCTGGCCGATATTGCCCGCCGTACGGACGCCATTTTTTTAACATTGAAAACTCCCAACCTCAACCAAGTATAATATTTGTAAGCACTACATAAAACACCTTAAAGTGCCATGAAACTATTGATAACAGCATAGGGTTTTCTAACCTTGATAAATACAAACCTTATTTAAAAAGCCGAAAAAACTATAAGAAAACTGCACAAAAACTATTTATGAGCGTACACACTCGACCTTACAATAAAACTGCCTGAAATTGCTGTTGGTAATTTTGATCTGATTTAACAGATGGCAGCACGCTAATAGTTTTATATCTCTGTAGGATTGTGTAAAACTAAGATGATCGATATTAGCCACTGATCGATATTCGACTCCTTTCCCCTACCATAAACAGATGCTAGTAGAACGAAAAAATATTAAAGATATTAAATATATTTTCGAACTATGAACCAGGCAAAAAATTACTTAAAACAATTCAATACATATCTATGTCAACTCTAAAGTGTAAAAAGTTATTAAATTTACTTCAAGAAAAGAACAAGATCTCGTTGGTATGGATTAGAGGTGTGTAGTTCGTGAACGAACTAGTTTCAATGAACTATTCCGGCCCCGGAATGAAAGGAACTAATTCCCGGTTTCTCAAAGAACTAGTTCCTCAGGACCTATTTCGGGTTCGAGACTGTGACCCATATATAATAATATGCGACGGCGACGGATCGGTCAGCGCGATCGTAGCCCGATGCTAGGCAGGAGTGTGGAGTGCTAGCCGTATGTTATCGGATCCGAACCTAGAGGAACTAGAGAAACTAATTAAAAGACTAGTTCACGGGAATCTATTCAGTCGGCAGATCCGAGATATAATACAAGCCGACGACGATAGATTCGGCCTTGTCTATTGCCACAGCCGCCGTAATTACCACACAAAATTGCCATGGATACTGTTTTTGATTTTTAGTTTGTTCTTTCAATATTTAATGGGAATGTTTCACTTTAGGTCCCGAAAATTTAGAAATATCTTATAGAACGAAGTAGATATTCTGAATTTTTAGACAAAAACAAAAATCTTGAAGTGAGGAAAGATGCAATTTTCATAAAATTTTTGTATTATTTGCTCCATTTCATGTATAATATAGTTTTTTTAAGCTGTGATTTATTTTTTTTTATCTGCAATAAAACTTACCTATATGTTTTTGTAAATTATACAGATCATACTGTAAATAGTTCTGACTGAGAACGAAACCCATTAGCAAGCAACGGGATGTCAATGTTAGTCGGGAACTATTGTGAACTAAAGACCTAGTTCAAGGAACTATTCCTCTGGAGGAACTAGAACTAAAGAACTAGTTTCTCCCAAGGAACTATAATTCCCATCTCTAGTATGGATACCGGGACATGATGACTTGGAATTTGAAGAAAAACTAACGTGTTAACCCTTTCACCAAAACAAGCACAGCTGTGCAATTCTTGATATCGTTCGCAACTTTGCGTATACGCATTACATTATCATTCGTAGAATAAGAACCAGCACTATGCGTTCCCAACTAGAGAAGTCTTAAATACTGGTAGAAATGATACACGTGTTCTTCGACTTCAATCAGGTCAATGCAGACTGATATCAGTTAAGCAGAGAATTGGATTTGTGATAGACGCTGATGTAAAATTGGTGTAAACCCTGCCCATCTTTGTTCCAAAATATGTCATGAAAATATATCATTAACGACGACAACGGTATATCAGCGAGATCTAGAGACCCTTATCAATACAATGGAGTCAAAAAATGTCGCCACGACGAAGTCATGCTTATTAGAGAACATGTGTAGAATGAAACAATCAACAGAGAATAGAGTAATCAGAAGCCAGAATAATTTAAAACAGAACAGCACTGATTGGCCTATATGCACAACAATCTGAACACCTTCAGTGGGCCCAACATTGTGGGATCAAAAACCTATGGAAGCCTCTTATCAGCAATCTGAAAGATTTAACGATGAGCAGTTTTATTAATTTTATTTTTTAGATGAAAACGACAATTGACAAATATAAGTCGAAACATTATGTAAATTTTCAAACTTATAGACAATGTCATTCCAAGTATATAAATATTTTATTTCCTTATCCACCATTGTCTACCTCTACAAAATAATCAATAAAAATTTAGGTTATTGTCAAATCTGTTAAAATCTACAGACATTCTCTTCTCTGAAGAGATGTCTGCGAGCTGGAGAGTTAGAATCTGAATGGCTGGACGTCATCGATATCTACAAGTAGGTATTTTTTTATTCTGTGAAAGCTGCGACGGAATACCTGTTATCATTTCTGTAATTGGATGTTCTACTTGCAGTCTAGTGTTCATCTCCATAAAATAAAAATTATGTGCTTTTCTATCCAGTATAAATTCAACTGTTCCCGCTCCTAAATACCCGACAGCTTGCGCAGCTCTGACAGCCGCAGCACCCAATTCGTTTCTTACTTCCCATGACAAACCAGGCTGAGAAATTGAAAACAAAATATGAAGATGCTTTAAGCTATATTAATTGCCGAATATTTAGAAAATGTTCAGTTGAATTCATTTCACAATTATTGAAATTGTTGAAATTTGTCCAACTAGAGGACATACATGACATTTATGTTCATCATTTTAATTCACAGGTAAATTTTAGTTTGTCATTTTTTGAATGTTATCTGTCGAAATCTTCACTGACTTGTTGAACAAACTTTAGTATAAATCGCTGCATACTTAATACAGACTGTAGAATAACCGCATCTAAGTGTAAGGCTACAGAGAACGTGATTAGTACGACATAAAAATAATTAAAGCTATAGATACTCTTTTAGCTATTGAAGCTTTTAATGCAATTTGTGTTCACTAAAAGACAAACAAAAAAGCGGCAAGTCTGATCTTTCAATCAGGATGAAAATACAATTCCAATTGACATTTTTTGGTATTTCCATAACGGTTTCTGTGAATTTTAATTATCAGTCATTGGGCGCGTTCAGGGACGGTCAGCGGCTGAGTTGCTGAGTAAGCGGTTTCCCTAAACGGTCTCTTTTTACACCCAAAACAGTCAGCCACTGAGTAAAATACTCAGCGGTCGGTCAGCCGCTGTGTTCCCTAAACGCGCACATTATTAATATTTTTAGCGCTCTTTAAAATGTAATATTACACCGATGGCTCAAAAGTGGCTCACCTCTATAACCTTTTTATTTTTCCAGAAAAAAAAACGAGATTTGGTATGTTAATATATGACATAAATTAGGATTGATTGACGTATTTAATTGATTTTGGTCGCTTCCTGTTTCTCCGGAAATGACTAGAATTTATAATTTTTAAATGGCACCCTCTGTATATTTTTACTTTACCTATTAGATAAAAAATGATACTCTGGATAGAAGACACATCATTAATTTACCAATTTTTGACATTTTCGCTTAAAAAATTGTATTTTAAATTTCAATCTAGAGTGCCATTGCTGTGTTAAAAAACACTAATTTTTAATCAAGCAGTCTTGGAAAAGTAGATTTGATCGTCTAATATTTTTCGTGTCTTGTCCTGGCCGGTTAATAAATGCCCAAATCGTATTTTTAATCATATCTCAATTTTTTTCAAATGGAACAAGGGTGACTCATTAGCATATTTGGAAAAAGCATTTTTTACGACTTGGTATTTCGAGTCAAATTGTCGTTATAAATCGCATGTTACAATTTCAAATAAACCATATACGAAAATGTGAAAAGTTGACATATGATATGTCATTCTATCCAGAGTGTAATTTTCTATCGAATAAAGTAAAAATATACTGAGGGTGCCATTTAAAAATCAAAAGTTGTAGTCATTTCCGGTGAAACAGGAAGCGACCAAAAACAATTAAATACGTCAATCAATATAATCTGCAAAGACACTTCCTGATAGGGATAAATGTTCCAAATTTTCCAACAAAAAAGTAAGATTAGACTAAAGTTGTCAAAACATCCGTTATCGTACGAAAAAGGTACGAAATGTTACAGGGATTAGACATTTTCAGATGAAAAATTACGCGAAAAGGATGATCGTATCAACGGATGCATGCCTCAGATCCGACTTAACGCTTCTGCCTACTTCTTTAGATGCAGCTACTCTAATTTATTAATGAACTCACGGCTGGTGCCTCTTCTATGATCTTTTGATGCCTCCTTTGTACAGAACAGTCTCGTTCATATAAATGAACGACGTTGCCATGCGCGTCGGCAAAAACTTGGACTTCCACATGTCGCGGCTCCTCTACAAACTTTTCCAGCAAGACCACGGAATCAGAAAACGCCTTCTGAGACTCCGTTCTCGCTGATTCTAGAGCTTCTTCAAAGTCCTCTTCCGAACGGGCAATTCTCATACCTTAAACTAATCTTTTTAGATACAACCATTTGTTAAATGGGCCAGACAGATTGCTTGCCATTTTTCAAATAAGACTGAGTAAGTGTATTAGTTTTTAAATGTTTTCATAATTGGTACAGAGAAAAAAATAATAATTGATTAAGCATATTAATAAAATAACTAAAGAAGGAGTCAAATATTATTTTTATATTCATACGATAAGATAAAAACATCTTCGTAGCTATTTTAAATGGCGTAGTTTTAATCTTTAACGCATGAATATAAAAATCTACGTCATAAACCATTTATAGCCCTTTGAAAATAAAACTTTGGATCAAGGAGAAGCACACTGTCAACTGAATCAACAGACATGCTCAGCAGGAATAAAGGACGGATTATAACCATGGTACAAAGAAAACAAGGTATGATCGATAGCGGCTCCAATTTCGTTAAGTTTGCGCATACCACCTGTGACGTTATACGCCATACAAAAAAATATCCATATTGTTCAAATGCCACTAATAAAAAAAAAAGACCTAAAATAGGGAAGAATTAGGACATAACCCCAAAAGTTATGTTTTGACATCGAGCTTGACATTTCAAAAATTATTTTCACATTTTGACACAATCAAATTTCACAGATGACACAATCTGTTTGACAATTTGAAATTGGCGCGCAGAGCTTGCCGACCAATGGTGCCGTTTATCACCTGTGACGTAGTGACCAACCTGTGCAATATCATACCTTGTATTCTTTGTATCATGGATTATAACAGTTCTCTTGATAGAACATATAACTGTCTAGTGCTATCTAAAAAGAATCAACATGTATCAAGGAAGTCTTTGCTGCAGGCTATGCGAAACAACAAATCATGAAACAGCATAGTACCGTTGATTGAAGAAATTACAAGATTCGCAACCTTATGGGCCATTTCGTTGTACAAAACCTCTCCATCCAGGGTGTAGCTGACGTTACCGTCAGCCTGTCCGAGAATTCCGAGATTTAGTTTGGCTCTACGCCGCTGCGCGCTGTTAGTCGTTTACAGCGCAGCGGATAAAGAATACTGTACCGTAGTTCTGCTTTCAGTCGACAGAGTGAGTGGTTGCCGGAGACAGTGAAGAACTACTGATTAATCAGAATTTTAGTTTTGTAGATTTAAGAATTTTGGGCACACTACGTTGATAATACGGATTTTCTATCATTAAACAATTTAATATAATATATGACTAAACAAAGAACGGCGTCAGAGTTGGAAATGAAGATGGCTGTTATTTCATATATAAAATATTATGGTAAATGTCAATAATCGGCATTTCTAAGCCAACTAAACGACTTTTTTCGATCATACGACATATTCAGTATCTATAAAAGAATTTTTATTTTTGTTGTTTATTCAATGTTTAATACAAATACATTTTCAATACATAAACGCTGATTTTTCATCCAAAGATATTTTCGTCAAACGTATTACAGATATTACACATTTTAATATGGCAACACTGTCACTTTCAGATCCACACCGTATTCGATATTCGATGCCTTCGCCGGTCGGATTAGAGAAAATAAGTGTTTTATGCGTGGACCGCAGAACGATTGGTGTCCCCACCGTACAGCACTTGAGACGTAAGGGGAAATGAAATCAGCCTTGTCACGAATTCGCCCATTATTAGTTGGTTAGTTAGTTTTATTATTAGTTGCGTATCTTCCCAATCCTTTCAATCAACGGTAGTACATAATACGAGGTCTGGCTATTAAATAACGAGATTGCGTGCAGTGCGTGCATAAAAGACGTCCTAGAGGAATAAATAATATGACGTAACTAAAGAAGGAGTCGCCAATGGTTACCTGGAAATGTCTATTATTACAGCACTTAAACACGTTTTTGACGCTGTAGTATTACTTCTTCGATAGAGGTTAGAAACTAACGTAGATTTTTCTTCTGCCGAAATCATAATTTAAAGCCATGCTAATATTTTTTTTTGACTTAACATTTAAAAATTTTAGCAACACTGCGAGAGCGAGTTTGTGAGACTCGGCTAAAGTTGTGTAAAAGCAAATTGTGGATCTTGCATCAGGATCATCAGGATAATGCACGTGCCTATAACTTATTGCTATCTGTGAAGCGTTATCACGGCGTTATTTTATCAATAGAGGCATTCCAGTGCTCGAACACGCGCCATACTCACCTGATTTAGTACTCTGTGACTTTTTTCTATTTCTGAAAATTAAGTCTGCTTTGAAAGGTACGCGGTTTGAGTCGATGGAAGAAGCGAAAGGAAAATCGACGCAGCTTTTACGAAGACTTCCAGCATTCCTTCAACCAATGGGAATAAGAATGGAACGATATGTAGCGAGGAAAGGGGAGTATATTGAATGAGAGCTTTCGATTGTCGAATAATTTTTAAAATAAAACTCGTTTTCACAAGCAGTCTAGAGTCTAGATGTTTAATAGCTACATCCCCCTCGTATGTCACTGTGTGACTCTGGATCGCAGGCGACACTTTCTATTTGGGAATATGGGAATGCAGGCCTGGAACTGGAGGAACTGTGCTCCCATCCTATCAAGGACCTGCACAAATTGGTGCGGGGCACAGGAATAAGGAACGTCTTCAGTTTTATTTAACTTTTATCTTGGCAGGTTTAACGTAACTGAATTTTTACCGAATTTGGTGCGCTTCTCTATGTCTATTATATAGTATTTCTTTTTTAATTGGTTTTATAATTGGCTAATAGCCTTAATAGATAACAGTGTATAAATTTGTAAAAGTCTGTGTTAGACCTGATTTTATATTTTAAAATTATAAAGCAAATGGAACACCACTGAGTCTCACCACTTCCTGCCTAATCAATTTTGTTAGTTAGCTCCTTCCTTAATCTATTTATTCAATAAGTAATAGAGATAAATAAATATATTTATTTATAATAATAATATATATCATATATTATTATTATAATACATGATTATAATATATGATATTATTATAATATATGATAAATAATACATCAGAAGCAATATCTCGGGAGTTTGGGCTTACCTTTACCACCTCCCCCTCTTACAGCCTTTATCATTACAGGAAATCCTATTTTTCGTGCTTCATTTTTTAGATTATCCACACTTTGGTCCTCACCATGATAGCCTTCTATAATAGGTACTCCAGCTTTTGACATAATTAATTTGGACGTGCTGCATACAAAAAAATAGTTCGTTAGAAATCATAATTTAGCAAAGTACACGACACAGAATATCAATGCACTGTATAAAAGAAAAAAACAAACAGATGTACGGAATCTGGCGATGCTATGTTACCAGGAACAACCGCCAAACAAGAACGGAAATAATTTTCTCTTGGCAAAGTCAGGATTTTCAAAAATTATAAAATCTTTCAAAACTTAATCTGCCCGCATTGAAAAAGTACCGAAAAGTGTTTAAAGCGTCCATTTTCAAAGTAATTATTGCTATCTTGTAAGTTTAATTTAAATTTTATTTGGTCAAACCCCTGATAATTGTGAAAAACTGGCATTAAATAAACTTAATAAGATTATGGAATCTTGCATATTTCAGATTGAGATTGATGATTAATGATTCGTCCGTTTAGAGTTTTAACTGTGATTTAAAAATGATATTTTTTATTTTTTTTACCTTTTTATACCCATATCCCTAATGGCAGATGCAGGAGGGCCTATAAAAATCACACCTTCTTTTTGACAATCCTCAGCAAATTCAACATTTTCTGAAAGAAATCCATAACCTGGATGAACTGCTTGACAGTTGAACTTCTTAGCGGTCTCTATAATGGTTCTGCCTTTCAAATAACTTTGTGATGATGGAGAAGGCCCAATTTCATACGCTTCGTTAGCCTATATAAATAATAACAATGTAAAAAAAAAATAAAAAACAGAAAACTATAACACACTAAAACATAATATGCTAATATCTATTTAAAGGTGTCCGGATTTACGGTATTTATTTACACTGTGTTCGAAAGACCGACGCTAAACACTAAAAATAAAAATATCTCGACAGCGCGATGATGCGACTGTCCTCGTTACATGTCGTTCGCCGTATAAAATAAAAAATATAGTCGCGCGTCGCAATAACCGAATCATGAGTGCGGCTATAAAATAGAAATAATTTCTGTAATCATCCTTCAGTTATATGGTGTATTTAGAAAAATTAAAGACTTTTGAAGGACCTCCAAAGCATATTTTGAATAATAATACTAAATTAAAATCGTGTATTCATCGTTTTAGTGAAATTGTTTATAAAAGTAAACATTGGTTATGTGGTTGTAAGCCACTCAATAAACTTATTGTTGGCCTTGTCTACAATTTTATCTAAAAATACGTTCACAGCTTTGTTTTTTACCTAAATTTAGTTCTAAATGTAATACATTGTAAAGCCAGTGCAATGATCCCCAGACCAAAATCAACATGCCCAAAAAAATTCGAACGGTACTATTGTAACACCCTCGGTAACACCCTAACGATCTCTCCAAGTTTGTTAATATATGTATAGGTATCATTCCTTAGTATTTTTATTCAATAACAGACACATTATCTATAGTTAACACTATTACGGCTATTACTTACTAAAGCAACGTGTAATGCATTTTTGTCAGCTTCACTAAACACAGCTACAGTTTTAATGCCCATCTTTTTGGCGGTTCGTATTATTCTACAAGCAATTTCACCTCTATTTGCTATCAGTATCTTATCGATTCTTTTTACGGTACTTTTCCATCTTAATGGGCATAAATATATAGATGTCCTAAAATATAGAGCCATTATAAATTTATTGCAATACCTACATTTTAAAAAATGCCAGAATATGAGAACTAATAAGATTCTACTGACGTCACTAGTCTTTAGGAAAACTTTAGAGATCTATTGTGCCCCCCTTTTTTTGAGTTATAACTCATCATATAGTCTATAACTCAGCATACATGGAGATTTTTCTGTTGTAGGGGGGACAGGGTATTCCCCACCCCCATCCTCGTCTAACAACAGATGTTCTTCCTCCGAGGAATACATATCTACCTACTCCGAGAGTTGGGTTTGGCTCTCCGTGCTCTATTTTCAACTCCCCGTGTATATTTTAGCTAAAACGTTACAATATGATGTGACATCATATTGTAACGCTATATAGCTCAAACGAAAAATACCTGTCAATACAGATGTGATATACATTGCGTTAAATCTGCTACTCACTATTCGTTGATGTTTCGATTTGATGCGTTGATGCACGAATCGCATTAACGCATATAGTATGTATCAGTATATACAGTATCCGACTTTACCATCCGTATACATATATACCGGGTGCGTCTCAAAAATGGCTCACCCCTATAACTTTTTTATTTTCTTAGATAAAAAAACGAGATTTGATACGTGAGTATATGACATAAATTATTAGAAATGATTGACGTATTCAATTGTTTTTAGTCACTTCCTGTTTCACCGGAAATAACTACAACTTTTGATTATTAAATGGCACCCCCTGTATGCATATGTATGGCATATGATATGTCATTCTATTCAGAGTGTCATTTATGATCGAATAATGTAAAAATATACCGGGAGTGTCATTTAAAAATCAATCTTAATTTATGTTATATACTAACATACCAAATCTCGTTTTTTTTTCTGAAAAAATAAAAAAGTTATAGGGGGTGAGCCACTTTTGAGACGCACCCGGTATAGGGTGTCCCAGGCTGAGCGTGCATTAAAAGTTTCTAGAGAACTACAATATCTAGATCGGAGATTTTTTTGAACATAATTGTTTCACAATGAGATCTTAAAATATTATAAGCCTAAGCAAAACTTTAGATTTAAATTTTAACAACCATTTATTTATATACAGGGTGTCCCAGGTTCAGCGTGCATTAGAGGTTTCTAGAGGACTACAATATCTCTATCGGAGATTTTTTGCACATAATTGTTAAAAATTAATAAAAAAAACTCAAAAACAATTTAGGTATAGGAACATGTTTAATCAAAAATTAACGAATTAAAAAATCTTTTCACTAGTGAAATAAAAAAAGTGGGTTTCCATTTGAAAAAAAATATATTTATGAAATTTTTTTAATCTCGCCATTCCATGACAGCTAGGGCCAATATTATATGACATTCAAATAATTCAATTTTTGAAATAGATAGCCACATGTCTTCTCTTTATGTCACAGTGGCTGTGGTAATCACTAAAATTGACGTTTAGGCTATACAAATTTTTTTGACAGGCAGTTTGTTTCCTCCAAAAATTTTAAATATTTTTTTTTCTCAAAAACGGTTAGGTATTAGAGTGTGTTTGACATCAAAATTCATAAAATTTTACAGATAATTTAAATATATAATAAAAAATTGGGGTACCCATTTAAAATAAGAAAGTTGCTATCACAGGCCGGCACTTCTGGTATTTCCGGAAGTGCCGCCATATTAAAAATATTTTTAAACAATAGATCTCATTGTAAAACAATTATGTGCAAAAAATCTCCGATAGAGATATTGTAGTCCTCTAGAAACCTCTAATGCACGCTCAACCTGGGACACCCTGTATATAAATAAATGGTTGTTAAAATTTAAATCTAAAATTTTGCTTAGGTTTATAATATTTTAAGATCTCATTGTGAAACAATTATGTGCAAAAAATCTCCGATAGAGATATTGTAGTCCTCTAGAAACTTCTAAAGGTGGCTTCCCACGGCCCGTAATTTTACAGGCCAAACCGCGCCAGCTCGCGCCAACGCGCCATAGGAAGACGGCCGCCTGAGGTGACGCGAGGAGGCGCGACGAATCCGCTTCGAGTCGGTAAGTTCAAAGGCCCGATCCAGCGCGGTGTGTTCATGCCTGTGCAGACCTGTTGATGTAGACAGACATAATTATTGTTTTTGTTACTCTTGTTGCTTTTGGTGGGTTTAATATGGAGTGGACGAACGAAATCACTTAATGTAAAAAAACTGTGTGAAATTACTTAAAATATAAAAATCAGGTTAGCCATAATGTCACTAGATTTCCATGGCACACTAAGTGAAAAAAAGAAAGTGAAAGGGGATTACTTTTCCTCGCTCGGCTCTTATTATACGATGATGTCCACCAACGCCTTTTTATCTTTTCCTTTTGATTCGTAAGTAAATAATACCCGTTAAAAAGTATGACAGCGGCTGCGGCAGCAGTTTTTTCTTCATCTGACATTACTGATAATTATCCAAAATAAGTTGTTGATAATCACAAAATGGTAGGTAATCACCAATCCCGAACACTAGTAACCTCAAAAATAGGTAAACAGATGATTGGTTTTCAAAAGGTACTCGGGCACAAACACGCCGTGGGAAGAGTTCCGCCTGCAGTCCGTAATATAGGGTAATATCTACGCCTCGCCCGTTTTTCCGTTGCGGCGCGGCGCGGCCTGTAAAACTACAGGCCGTGGGAAGCCACCTTAATGCGCGCTCAACCTGGGACACCCTGTATATAAATAGATGGTTGTTAAAATTTAAATCTAAAATTTTGCTTAGGTATATAATATTTCAATTAGATTTAAATATTGCTATTAATTCTTAACTACTCTACCGGGTGCGTCTCAGAAGTGGCTCACCCCTATAACTTTTTTTTATTATTTCAGATAAAGAAACGAGATTTGGTATGTTAGTATATGACATAAATTAGGATTGATAGACGTTTCCAATTGTTTTCGGTCACTGCCTGTTTCCGGAAATGACTACAACTTTTTATTTTTAAATGTTTTTACTTTATTCGATAGAAAATGACACTCTCAAAAAATATCGTTTTTTTAAATTTCAATCCAGAAGGCCATGGCTGCGTTAAAAACACTAGTTTTTTTTAAACACTAGTTTAAGGAGCCTTGCAAAAAATAGATTTGATCTTCTAATGTTTTTTTTTTGTTTTGCCCTGGCCGATGGCCGGTTAAAAGATGCCCAAATCGTATTTTTAATCATATCTCAATTTTTTCAAATGGAGTGAGGGTGGCTCATTAGCATATTTGAAAAAAGCATTTTCAAGGAATAATTTGGTACTACACATTTGATATTTTAAGTGAACTTGTCGTTACATTTATGACCATGGCACTCTAATTGAAATTAAAATGATAGTTTTTTCTAATTGAATATGTCAAAAGTTGACATGTCATTCTATTCTGAGTGTCTTTTTCTATCGAATAAATAAAAAATACCGAGAGTGTCGTTTAAAAATCAAAAGTTGTAGTCATTGCCGGTGAAACGGGAAGTGACCAAAAACAAATGAATACGCGTCAATCAATCCTAATTTATGTCATATACCAAATCTCGTTTTTATCTGAAAAAATAAAAAAGTTATAGGTGTGAGTCACTTTTGAGACCCACCCGGTATAATATAAAATAATATAGATATATCAAAACTTAAAAAAACTATAAATGGTATATAAAATAGAAGAAAATAGAAGAAATCCGACCCTGGTAAAAAAAGATTAGGCGGCATCTATGCCAGCGTTCTCCAATTTTCTAACTGTAAACAATTTGAATTATTTCTGACTGAGTTTGAATTTTTTAAATGTATTTTTAAATACACCTTATACCATATTATGTATTTAGTACATTCAAAGATGCATAATACATAATATATAAATGTTATAAATTTATAGTTTTTAACAAACTATAGAATAAATAAAAATATAAAGAAAAAATAATATACTTTTTGTCGTCCCTCGTAACAACTGATTTAAACAATAGGTATTCATTATAATAGAAATAGAGTAATTAATTACAATCTTTTTAAGTTTTTGAAATTACCATATCAAAGTAGGTAAATAAGTAAGCCATAATATCTGTATTTACAATAATGTCTAGTCATAATTTAACTGAAGATATACTGAGCTAAAATCTGAGGTATTGTTATTTATTTAAAACTTTAGACTTAATCGCGTATAAATAGATTTAAGAATATTTAATAATTATGGATTAGGTATATATTTTCTCAATTTAATAAGATTTTACTTACCGACTAAAATCTATTGTTAAATTTTTATACATGGTTCGAAAGAAATAATACCTACAAAAAAATAAATGTACGATTTGAAACACATGAGACGAACTACTTATCGTTACTGACAAACATAAATATGTGAAATAGAGTTGTGAAATGGTAATAAATGAAAAAGATAATGTTTGACCAGATTTCTAAATTGTATTACAAATTTCTTAAATAATTTCGTTCATCATACTGTTTTGCAATATTGGTATTATAGATTCATTATTCATTAATTATTGTTAAATATTTTTGACCTAAGCTAACAAAAACAAAAATTATTGTGGAATGATAGTATTTCTAGTTGCCTATAAGTTTATTGTTAAAGTAAAAATTTGTTGTCGAATAATATTTATACCGTATGATCGAATAAAATCGGCGTCATGCTATGAAATGAAAATCGCTATCATTTTTTATATGTAAAATTATACGGGGAATGTCATGTTCATTTCCAAGCCAACTGATGGTTTTTTTCGATCATACGATATATTATCGCAGATATTATGGTCCCGCAGAGATTATCTCTTTTCTTTTCTTTCATATTTTATAGAAATTTAAAAAATGTTATTTATTCTGATTATTCTCTATATTTAAACAATCTATATTTTCGATTGTTTCAAATAAATCTTTATTTCTACATAAAATAAAAAAAATATATTCCGAGAATACTAAGCGTAATGAAATAAATAAAAAAATATTTTTACTACATTTGCCAAGCGCTTTATAAGAAGGACAAGCGGCGTTTAAGTTGGTTTAAGTATAAAATTTTCGAAAAAAATTCTAGCGCTTTTAAAAGAGTGTGATATACTAATATGTCTACTCAGTTTTTACTAATCTAAATAAACTTATTCGGACCTACACCATCTTTAAGCTCTCAAAGAACATAAAAAAATGAGCGCGAGTTTACGCATTTTTTTCTTTTTTACAGTTTAGTTCAAAAATACACGTTAAACGGACGTAGGTTTTTATGAATAAAATTATAAAAAAATTGGCCGTTTATGCGCATTTTAATGTTTTGGTACAAAGACATACGTAAACGATGTAATAAAGGGGAAAAACCATGGAAAAACAAATAAAAAGAAACAGAAATTACGTTAGTTATCTCTAATAAACCACATTTATTATTGTTTTAGCCCAAATAACAATTTAAACACACTCCAAAAATGTAGAAAAATGAGAGGATAAAACTTAAAGGGATAAAAGGGTAATCAAGTTTGCTGAGTTTTTGATATTTTCGACCTTAAAATAACTAAGAAATAATTTTTACGTAAAAATAGGATTTTACGCACCCATCCCTCCTATAACCATAGAAGCTAAAATAATTTGTAAATAAGCTTTAAAATTCTATTTACTCTATGTCTAAACAGTGACATTGACATTTCTGTGTTACTTAACCCTAACCTTACTTTCTGCTTTTGGTGAAGAGTTTTCTGATGTTTTTCTGTGAGAATTTTTATTCACTAGATACAAAAATCTAACACATAGGGAAAGAGATTAAAGCTTAAAACATGTTGAAAATATCACCACAAAATTTTACGGATTTGGCTAAGTACTTGAAAACCCCATTAGGCAAAATATCTACCAGTAATACTGTAAGAATTTTATAGTAATTAAAATTGGCCATGGACCCTAACGTTGCAACCGAAACATTTTTAGTTATTTACTCGCACTTTAAATAATAGTACATCAAAAGGAGCCATGAACATAATATTTGCTTTGTTGAAAGACTCCAACTCAAATTTGAGACCAACAAATAAATTAATTGAAATTGAAATTCGTCAATGGCTTGAATATATATTAATCTATGTGGGAAACGCAAGTAACAGTCAACATACTCAGAATATTTTAGCAGTAAGTGATTTTTCTTTCCATTGTTAATTTATAAATAATAGAAAATTCCAGGACTTAAATGACTTTCTAAAAGTTAAGACATATCTTGTGGGTAATGCCTTTACCATTGCAGATGCACTTTTATATTACGTACTCTTTAACGTTATGGTAAGCATATAACTCTTGAATTTATAAAATAATTAAATTTTCCCTTTTAGACAAATCTCTCTAATATTGACAAAGAAAAATACATAAATGTTTCAAGGTGGTTTGATAATATTCAACAAGATTCAACGTTAAGGCAGAACTATAATATAGTTGATTTTAGCACAAATTATTTGGCATCTATTGTTCCAGCAAAGCATTAAAGTATGGTCAAAATCTCAATATTTTATTTGTAATCTTTAAACGCCCTTTGGAAATATTTATACACTGATCAGGTCATGTAAAAGTGTGGTCTGGATTTTAATGTTAAGACAGTGATGCAGACAGCTTAATAAAAAATCAAATGTATTAAAAAGAGATAAAAATTGGGTTGATACATTTTTTCTATGCGGTATTTCCAGATTTTGCATCAAAATTTCAAACCGCACGTGTAGGGGTTTACAAAAAATGTAGCAATCGAAATGGAACTTTATTTTTCACAAATACTCATTTTTACTACAGCTGTAATAGATTACATTTAGCTTAGATATATTATCTTTATTTCTATATCTTGATATATGTATATATTATATTATAAATACATGAAGTACCGTACAGCATATACATATGAGGGCTTCAGAAGTGAACTGAATCAAGTCCAAAAAGAATTATGGAAAAAATGACAGTTAAAGTTTTTTAATGTTACTTAATTAAAATAAACAAGTTGGATAAACAGGCTATAGCTGCTTAAAGGCTGATTCATGGTACACCATGACGGGCCGGGGCCGTGCGACGGTGAAGGCACGGCCAAACATTGTCAAATGTTATTTATACCTATGCATTCATGCTAAGCCGAGCACGGGCCGAGCTTCGCCGGAACCCGTCCGAGAAATGTCGGTGTACATTTTTCCTCGGATCCGCTACGGTCCGGCCCCGTTGCGGCAAACATAAATGAGTCGCCCGGGCTAAATACTTCGTTCGTCTACGGGCCTATAGCGACTGTTTTCTAGCAGTGTTGCCGCACCCAACTTTTAGCGCGTACCACATTATAAACTAAAAATGTACCACTTTGGTACAATTTTTTAAAGCACAACAAAATACATCTGCAAATGACTTTAACCGGTTTGGTCGCTGTGAATTTCTTCATAAATTCCTACATAAAAAAACTTCCTGGAGAAAGACACAAATCGAGACGAAAAACATGAAATAGAAATTCAGAAAATCCAATTATAAGTATGTATAGGTTGAAGAAATCTAAGTAATTCTAATACTACACACAATACTTGGAAAACTTAAATTTTATTAAAAAAAAACGCAAATATAGAAGCATGTTAGAAAAAGTAAATTTTCAAGTTTTTTCTTTGGGTTATTTAATATAGGCAACGCTATGGACATTACAACGTTTATAATACGTCGTTAATTAATGCGGATTATCTCCGAATGGTATCGGTAAGCGCGTTTAATGCAATATCAACGACAATAATTATTAAATATCTATTCATTTTCGGTGCGCGTGGGAAATCATTATTGTACCAAATTATCCTGGATTTGAAAATGTGTACCACTGTACCAAATAGAATTAAAAGTATCAAATTTGGTACAAATGTACCACTGCGGCAACACTGTTTTCTAGAATATAATCGGCACGGACATGATCCCCGTTGTCCACTCGGTGTAGCATATATTGAAGGCCCGGACGTGGCCCGGTGTCTACTGCACGGAACGTGCCCGGCTCGGGTACGGCCCGGTGTACCATGAATCAGCCTTAATACGAGAAATGTGACTTGATTAATTTCCCTACTGGAAAAAGACAAAAAAACAATATTCTGTAAAAAAGACGATTATCTTAAAATAATAGGAAATTGGGCTCGATCCATTTTAATTCTGACCACTCCATATATGTAGGTTTCTAAGTATCTCAAGTATATTATCAGTACTGATCAGTACATTTACTATACCCTCTATATACCAATATAGAAGAACTTTCTTGTTCATATACCAATATATACAGATAATTTCCTTTAGCTCAGAGATGCTCTAGAACCCAGGGAACTCAAGAACTTCTATATTAGATAGTTTTCTTTTCAGAAAAATATAATTTATTTTAAAATAAAGAAATAACAGTAAAATCCAAGTAGAAATGATTCCATATAGTTTTTAGGGTTCCGTACCCAAAGAGTTAAATCGGGAACCCTATTACTAAGACTTCGCTGTCCGTCCGTCTGTCACAAAAGTCTATCTGATGAGCCGTTATAACTAGACAGTTAAAATTTTCACAGATAATGTATTTATGTTGCCGCTATAAGAACAAATACTAAAAACAGAATTGAATAAATGTTTATAAATAAAAAAGTACTTTCACTAAACATTATCTTTTAAGTAAGAATCTTTCAAGTCCTCGGTGGGCGCGTGGTTAAAGCGTTAGGACTTGCTATGACGTTGGAGCTGTAGTAAGGCAGGTTCGAATCCTAGTGAAGGCAACCTTTTTTAATCTTTTTTTTAACTTTTTACATATTTACTAATTTTTTTTTTAAATTACTTATACGCGCATTCAACATTTCAGCTAAATCGGGAAAAAAAGCAAAATAAAAACACTAAATCACCACAATACACCAAAACACTTTTACATTTACACTGGACGCGCGTTTCGTTAACCATGTTAGCATCATCAGCAGATGATTATAAACTCGATTTAGTGTTTTTATTTTGCTGTGTAACACCAAAGGTTCCAACCCTCAACTGTAATCGGGAAAAAAGTTTATAATAATATAGTGTCTAATGTTGTATAGATATTGAATGGTACGGACTTGACCATTTTTTTTTCTTTCTTAGGTATGAGCACAGAATATCTAGCTACGCAGTATTATATATGCGTAGCTAGATATTCTGTGGTATGAGCCTGTATGAGGTTTTATAATTGAATGATGGAAAACATTTTTTATGCGACGTTTCGCTCCAACAAATGAATTAGCACTCATTGTTGTCTGCACTCATTTGTACAGACTGATGCAACAAGACGACTTCAAGTTTTAGAATAAAGTGGCTGAAAAAACATAGTGGGCATGTTGGAGGGAAACGTCGCATAAAAAATATTTTCCATTCAATTATAAAACCTCATACCCAAGAAAGAAAGAAAACTATATGTATATAAACTAATGGTTCAAAGAAAAAAGAAATAGTAGAAATTAATTTTATATTACAATAAACACTAGTATTTTACAATAGCAGACTTTCAAATCACATAATAAGTATTATTTTTTTTTCAAAAGAATGTGCTTTTGACAAAAGAACAAAAATATTGAGACTATTTCTGAAGAATTAAGTGATGTTAGCAACTAAAATAGTAACCATATCTTGAATTTTTAACTTACTTCCAACAAATGTGAATGAAATATGTTTTACTGGCCGTAGTAATATTTTTGCTTTACATTTAATAAATTTATTTTATACTGAATAACAGTTCAAATAATTCTTTTGTATAGGGACATCATTGATAATCAAAATAAAAATGTATTCTTATAAAGATAGTGAATCAGAGAATGATAAAATATTATTGAGGATGATTTTTATCCTGATAAACTCGGAATCTACATAATAATTCAGTTTCTTGGCTAAAGCCATAAACATAAATAGGTATCTATACAATGTTATTTCTTTCACATTAGCTAATCATTACTGTAGGGTTGTTTTCCTATTTTAAGTCAAGTTTTCAGGTAATCATCTATTTTTATTATATTAAAATCTTGAATCAATAAAATAAATTACAACCCTAAGTTATGATATATTTAATGCACCTGTTAATACCAAAATAAAAAATTATCCATTTTTTGTAGTAAAATGTAGTAGTTTACAAACATTCAGTTGCTGTTGAACAGTAAGTATAAACACATTTATAGCTAAATAGTTTTTAAAAAACTAAGGGCAATAATAATACAATTTATAGTCCACTTAAAACAACTTCCTCAGTCAACTTTTACAACACTGTAAATCTTTCTTATAAACCAGAAACAAGCAAAGAACCCTATGGAACCAGTCAAAAGATTGAATAAAAATACCATTATAGTTGTATAACCGAAATATAAGAAGGCAGAGGCAGCATCCTCAATTTGAAGTTTTGTATTAAAGTAATAACAACAATATAGAAACAAGTAAACTGAAGTAAATCCAGATGTTAGATACGATCTCCACCACCAATGATAATCTTCAGCACAAAGATGGAAGTAGCATAATAAGATAGTAGTTTCAGCGCAAGTTATAACAAGAATTATAAAAACTAAGAATAAAAATCCAAACATATAATACATCTGTGCGGACCAAATGGAGTTTAAAATAAAAAATAACTGTATAAAAATACAGCCAAAGGGCAATACACCACCCATTATTATTCCAGGCATAGGCTGAGTATATACTGATTGTTCTGGAATTAACCTTGGAATTTGATTTGTACGTACAGGATGTTCAATAGCTCTCTTCCTAAATCCAACAAATGCTCCAACAAACGTTAGTGGTACAGACACTAACCACCATAATGCTAAAAGTCCAACTAGAGTACTAAATGGTATAGCGGCTGAACTATCCTTAACCCATAAAACTAAATTCATAACAAAAAATAGACCAAATACTATTCCAGGAGCGAGCATAGATGTTAACAAAACATTTGATTTCCATTTCTCTCCACCGAAACTTTTGTATATTCTAGCAGAAACATAACCAGCTGGTGATCCTAATAAAACATATAGTACCATTGCGCAAGTCATTAATGCACCTCGATTTGCTGGACTTAAAAAGCCTAAGCAAGCAAAAGCTAATGTTACAAGTGTCATACAGAATACTTGAATTCCTGAACCCAGAAGAACTGAGAGCAACATTCCCTTGCGAGGTGGTCTAAACACATCACCGTGTACTAGTTTCCACCCAAATTCCTCCTAAAAAAATGCCATATTATGTATATTTCAATATACAGGGTCCGGCAATAGTGCGTCGGGCATCTGTAGCTCCTAGAATAAAAAACTTAAGAATTTTGTTTAAGTGCAAATCTAAAGTATTTTCTAGGATGTTATTCCAGGAAAATATTTTAACTTCTAGAGGGTGGCTCAAAAAAGTGTGAGTGTATTGGGATGATTTTTTTTAAATGGAACACCCTGTATATTATTGCATTTTTGGTTTCTTTTCAGATCACTTTACATAATCCTAAGATATGAGTAAATATATTTCGATAGTTTCAGAGATATTAATAAATAAATAAAAAATATATATTTTTCAGCCTTTCTCAAAAAAATTATTAAAAATACAAGAACTGTCCTGAAATCAAAACTATATTAGATATTTACTTACTTTGCTATAAACATGGTAATTGTACATCATAGAGGATGTTCAAAATTTTACGCCAAACTTTCTAAAATAAAATAATTTTTCTTCATTTTTTTAAATGGAACACCCTGTATATTATTTTTTCAATAGATGGAGAGTTAAAAAATAAACAGTTTTTGTATTTAGAGTATTTCAAAATTTTTAACGGTTTCGCAGATATTTGCGGCTTTATATTTCATATGGTATTTTCCATAGTAAATTTTTATCAAAGCCACCCAATGATTTTTTTCTCGTATTTTACCGTTGAGAGAGCCATATGAAATAATACTGCGTGTACCTACGAAACCATTAATAATTTTGAAATACTTTAAATACAAAAAATGTTCATTTTTAATTTTCCATCTAATAGAAAAATAATATACAGGGTGTTCCATTTAAAAAAAAACAAAGAAAAATTATTTTATATTTTGAAAAGTTTTGCGTAGAATTTTGAACATCCTGTATGATTTTAGATTACGATATGTATAGCAACGTTAAATATGTACCATTTAAAGTGAATACCTAATACAGTTTTGATTTCAGGACAGTTCTTGTATTTGTAATATTTTTTTTAATGAAGGTTGAAAAATACATTTTTTTTTATTTATTTATTAATATCTCTAAAACCATCAAAATATATTTATTCATATTTTAGGATTATGTACAGTGACCTGAAAGGAAGCCAAAAATGCAATAATATTAGTGATGGGCAAAACTGTTATTTTTAGATAACAGTTGAAACTGTTATAGTTATTTATAAAAAACAGCTTAAAATAACAGCTTAAAAATAACAGGTTTCTTTATTTTATTGCTAAATATCTGAAAGAATATGAGGCGGTCACCGCCAGGCGTATTAACGCAGTTGCAACAATGACGTGCTCGGTGGTAGATTTCCAGGGTGTCATAACATTTCTAAATATCGATTGTTATCTAAAATACCTCTCTAAAAACGGGGGTTGTTTACAAATAAGCGCTGTTTACAAATTGCGATATAAAAAAGCCAAAATGCCGCCACTCGTCTATATCTATAAATTCCGATCTACCTACGCCCTACCCCTCGATCCGCGTAGATTCTGAATTGCGTAGCAGTGTACAGGGTGCATCTCACTCGACGGGCGAGAAGCTCTTCGTTATGATTTTACCATTTGCGGTCAAAAAATAGCAATATAAGAAAATGTGTAGTATATTCTTCATAAGTAAACCAACTACACACTAGAGTTCGAATTAATTTTACACTTAAACTAGCATGTACAGTTTGACAAATATAGGAAGAGACTTGGGGATAGCACCGGTCGCGCACACGATAGAGAGAGAACGCATTCGGCGGAAGAGAGATGCAGTTACGCTACGAAAAATCTGATTGAAGCAAATTTGTGGGATGTCCACTGCGCATCGGGGGGCGTCTCTTATTTTATATTTCTCACGTCTCTAGCTATACTTGTTAAGTTGTACCCGCGACTTCGTTCGCATCGAATTATTAATTTGTAATGGTGATGATAAAGCAAAGCAAGAATTTCCATTAACATACAAACTGGATAAAATTTTCTCACATTTGCCAAAAATATGCTTTAAACGTCGAGCAGTTTAAGCAGAATCGTGGTTAATCAATTACTCAACTTTTTGGAACACCCTGTATTATTTTTTAAAAAATTTCAAAATATGTAAAAAAACAAAATAAATTATGCGTGTCCAATCGTTTTCCCGAAAGACTAACCGTTTTTTAAATAATAAATATTGTAATATTTGAGGGGCGTTTTCACCCTCTTGGAATTTGAGATTCGAGAAACCCCTCCTTATCGCACCTCTACACCCCACAGTCAATCCGTTTACCAAAAATCAGCTTTAAACGTCAAGCAGTTTAAGCAGAATAGTGATTACTCAGTGGTCATATTTTATGAAACACCCTGTATATATTTTGTAAAAATCTCAAAATATGTAAAACAACAAAATAAAATATACGTGTTTAAGAGTTTTTTCGAAAAACTCACCAGTTTTTAAATAAAAAATATTCTAATATTTGAGGGTGGTTTCACCCCCTTAGAATTTGAGTTTCGAAAAATCCCTTCTTATCGCACCTCTACACCCTAAAGTCAATCCGTTTTCCAAAAATCAGCTTTTTACGTCAAGGGCTTTAAGCAGGATCGTGATTAATCAATGACCAGATTTTTCAAAACACCCTGTATACATTTTTAAAAAATCTTAAAATATTATTCTGAAAATTTTTCAGAATAAATAAATACTTAAATATTGAAACTTAATAACAAAGTATTGAAACATACAGCGCCATAATATCTCGACCTCCGCCCGTTATGCTCGTAACAGGTTGAAAAACAATATGTATCTAAAACAACTGATGCGTTATTCTCCAACCTGTTTCAAACCTCCGATTATCTCGAACGCCGTTCTGTTATGCTCGTAACAGGTAAAAAAACAACATAGCTAAAACAACTGATGCGTTATTCTCCAACCCGTTGCGAGCCTCCATCGACAATCGACCGATGCAGCAGCGCTCCTTTCCCACTCCTGTTATCTCGACAGCCAGGCGTTATGCCCGCAACTGTTTCAAAAAAGCTGCTTCTTTTATATCCTATTATTTTTAAGCTGTTGTCAGCCCAACACGACGCGCCGCGCCGTAGCGCATACCCCACTCCGTTGTCCGTTGTATCTCGCCGCCTGTATCGATGGTTGTCGAAATAATAGGTTTTCCATCCATACTAGTTGTTTTTTGGAATTGCTTCGAGCAGCATCGAATTTCGTGGCGGTGCAGAGCGCCGACTTCGTTTCACGAACACTCGATCTCTGCGTGTCGTTATTTTATATCTGTTATTTTTTAAAAGCAGTAACGGTTGCGTTATGTTATTTCTAAATAATTGTTGTAAAATAACAGATAGTTAAATAACAACCCATCACTAAATAATATACAGGGTGTTCCATTCAAAAATAATCATCCTGATCCACTCACACTTTTTTGAGCCACCCTATAAAAGATAAAATATTTTCCGGAAATACATACTTTAGGTTTATACTCAAACAAAATTGCCAAGTTTTTTATTCTAGGAGCTATAGATGCCCGACGCACTATTGCCGGACCCTGTATAACTGTACCAAATTCTTACTTGAGCGTCTTCTCCATTGTCCATTTGATTATATCTTGCAATATCTTTGTATAAAGTTCTCAGTAAAATCATTCCAACCATTCCTGAGAGGAACAATACAATAACCAGTGAGTTCAAAATACTAAACCATTGAATATTGGGATAGGGCATGGACTCCAATATATAATCCCATCTTGACGACCATTTCACAGAATTATCTTGAATAAATATTACAGAATATGAATATTTTATATTAAATACTTCATCTTTCCCTAAAGGTTTTGGAGGAAATTTCAACATTTTTGTATTAGCTCCATCACAAGAACCACTAAAAAACAACTTTTATTATTTATAATTATGAAAGTTTTCTGGCATCTTACGAGGAATGATCCACGCTCCTTGGAGTTACTTTTACAGATATGATCCTTCCCCCATTGCTACCAAACTTAGAACCCCATTCTTCTTTAGCACCTGAATGGTAAGTAATTCTCAGATCAACATGATTATAAATATAGTATGCAGGTTCATTTGATGGTTCCATATCACAAGTTGACCCTTTATTTCGAGAATAACAACCCATTCGAAAGCCTGTTGTACAGTAAATATGATTATTTTTTTTATCAGAACAGTAAGTTACTGGCATGTTGTCAACTATCCAATGGTGGTTGTAGCCCAAACTAATTCCTTTTCTAAGGGTAGCTAGACGCATGTTATCATCTTTATTGTTGCCATTGTAGTGTCTATCGCAAAGATGAACACAACTAGCATTTTTCATGAAACTGATTTTATAAGGGGAGGGTCTTATTCTCTCTCCAAATACAACTTGGCCCAAGTTTTCCACTGGCGATTTTGAATCATCTTCTGACAAACAGAAATCAAAATGACTATATTCATATGGTATAACTGATTCTTCTGTATTCAGCCGATTAACGTATAAGGTGACTTCCGACTATAAAAAATTAATCTTTGTCAGAATTGTGTATAAGAAAAAATAAACTAAGGTAAAGTATAAGTAAACTTTACTGTGACTTTACCTTACAGTCTTTAGTTTGATCCTCTTCTTTGCAGTAGTTAACTGGAGCCAAACCCGGTAAGTAAAAAGAACTAACATAAATAATATTAAACAATAAAATTATAGCACTAATTTTCAGCATTCTGTCCAGTTGATCGTCATCAAAACTGCAACATAGACGTTTTTTGAAGATTAAATATCTACCACGTCATTTAATATTTTTTGAACTATTGTTACTCAAATATTCAGAAGAATCTTTTTGTCCTAATTCTTAGTATGTGGTAACTAGTCACACTGCAGTAGCAATTATATTTATAAAAAATAGTCAGCTTTAAACAAGTCAGCAATAAATTTTTACTGTTCTTTTTACTGTCCCATATACGTACCATAGATGAAGAAGATCAGTTAATTTTTAATACTTGACACCAGGGATATATATATATAAAGTCATGATATATATATATAATCGAAAGTAGTATTTGTTATGGTATTTATCTATTCTCTGGTATTTATCTTGTAAAAAACATAGATTTTGTGTCCGCGGTTTTTTTAAGTTCTATAAAAAACGCATTTTTTGGTATTATCCAATTTTTTTTATTTTGCTTATAAATTCCTTTTTGTGATATGTAATTTTTTTATATTTGAACGTGTATTTTACACCAAACTTATCCCTGGCCTAGTGTAATTAAATGTTTGGAAATATAAAGTAACTTATGAAAAAAAAATGGGTAAAGGTGTGGATCCGGTGGCTGACCTTGAAGGCCATATTTGCTGCATTTGATCATCGATACTACGCAAGCGCACATCTTCGATGTTGCCAAATTGCAGTTTATTTTCGAATTATTTGCAGTTGAAAATTTTTTTTTTAATCAATAATAATACAAATTCTATATAATTAATTTTATAATTTCAGATTTATCTTGATATCCAAAATTCAGATAAGAAGGATAATAAAGATTGTGAATTGAAAGAGTTATGAATATATAAAATTGTAATAATAATAACATTTATTTATACATTTACATTAAAATTAAAAATTATCATGTACGGATTTCTTCTTAATGGTTTTAAACTTATTAGAATTATTTTATTTCTTTCAAGTTATTTAATTTTTAGTTATTTACAGGCAACAATAGTTTTGATTATATGTATTGATGTTTTGAAATACTACCATGACGAGTCTTATACATAACAATACACGTCAATGGGAGATAGAGGTAACATCTTACCTATAATGTTACTAATATAATATACTTTGATTATAATATTTTAATTTTTTTTTCATTATAATAATTTCTTAAAAATATCAAGTTAGTGGATTAAGAGCAATTTTAGACATATATTTTATCGAAGAGTGTGTTGATAAGACTAAAATAAGCTTTATGTTTTATCTTTTTCTCTTTAGAAGGGAGATGGTTTGTGTCGTAGAATACATTACAGTATTTAATATTGTGTACTTTGATATTCTTTTCTTAAGTTACTGCAATTTCTTGTTTCCTATAATGCCAAATCTTGACAATATGGTGAAGGTTGAGTTTTGATCTTATTAGTTTTACACCTGTGTTTATGCAAGACCAAATTAAGATTAGTTTGTAATTAGTTTGTGATTTATATTAAGATCTTTCTTATAATATTTGTCATATCTTAATCTTAATACTATATTATGCTTTGTCTGGAAAATAAATGTTAAAATATCTTAATTTTGCATATCCTATTCCATCCTTCCATTAGGAAAAATATGGTTTATAAATCATATTATGCTAAGAAAATCATATAAATTAGGTGTAAGAATAGAGAAATCTTAAGGTAGCAGAAAAATTAATGCAATATATGTATAAGCAGAATTAAACAAGTTAACTGTAAATGTTGCTCAAGCTGATTCTACAATTTTAATTACGGAGGCTAAAAGGCCTTTTAAGGCCTCCATAGTTTTGATGGAATGTTAAAAAAAAACCTATTATGAACATGACATGGAGCTACAGCATTTAAAAATAAAAAAAAACTTGGACACATCCCTTTTAATATTTACCGAATTTTTAATAAAGCACTTTTTAAACGTATAGTTGCGTATAGCATAATAATGTAGAGCAATTAGATTAATTATAGGAATCTAGAATTTTATTTCTATTTAATTTTATTGACTATAAAAATACATAATAAGCGTTCACGTTTCATGTGTTGTGCGAAATATTAAAATAATAATATAAATAATATACCGCGTACTATGATTGAAAAAAATAGCGTCAGCGATAACTATGAAATGAAGATCGCTGATATTTTATATGGGAAATGTCCTCAATCGTCATTTCCCAGCCAACTGGACGCCGATTTTTCGATCATACTGTATATATTGACAAAAAAACACAGAAAAGCACATATTTGATTTCTACTGAAAATAATTCCAAAATAACTTGCAATCTGGCAACATCGAAGATGTGCGCATGCGTAGTGTCTGTGACTATATGCAGCAAAAACTCGTTTCAAGGTCAGCCACCGGATCCACACCATTACCAAAAAATGTTATGGAAATTAAGAAAGAAAACTTCGGCGTAATATAGATAGTAAATATAAAATAGCAAATAGTAAAAAGCGTAGATAAGGATAATATATATATGATATATATTATATTATTGCTCTTTGATGGTATCAATCATACACCAATCATATAATCCAGCCACATTTAACTAAAATAAATTAATTTATATATGAAAAAACATAGACACCACAGAGCAATAAGTAAGCTCTTCAAGCTTGTTTGACGTTTATGACTTTTGACGCTTTGTTTGCTAAAAAAGTTTTTCAGAGAGAGCATTTTAGTTAGGGATAGATTTTCCGGTTTTGTTTTATAAGTTTAATATTATATTGTGGTGAGTTTTTTTTACATTGAAAATTGTTAGTAATTTTAAAATCATCATTAAGGTTTGTTAGTTATAAATATAAACTAGACTTGGTAAAATTTTTTAGTCGGCCCGAGACGGCCTAATAAAATTTCATAAAATAACATGTCCTTTTTTTTTAATTTAAAACTTCTTTAAAACCATTTTTTATAGAATCGGATAAAGATGGTTCGAAAAAGCACCAGATCTACATTAAGAGGAGCTGAAAAAACTAAATCTGAGACTTCTAAAAGAACTCGAACAAGAACTTCCACTCGACGTAGGAAGTCGTCAACTAGTGAGGATTCTGATGAGGAATTAAAGAATATCGCGAATAAGTCACCTGACAGGTCAGAAAAAGATTCGTCAGAGAGTGACTCTCCAGATCGAGACTCTAAAAAACCTTTTAAAAAAAGAATTAGAGGTAGAAATCGTGAATCACCAGTACCTAAAATAGATGATCAAACTGAAGATGTAAAAGAAGGGAAAAGAGGTAAAGGTAAGTCTAAAAGTAAAACTAAGTCAAATAACTACACAGCCAATGTTGAATCTGAAAATGACAATATACAGGTGACAAAAGAGTCACCCGGCAGCACTAAAGAGGAACAACAAATTGATGAATCTGAACGAAATATATCAGATGCTGTGAGTACTGGTGAGAATAATGAGGAAGGAACTAAAGGAGAACAGGAGACTGTGATGTCTGATAATACAGAGTCTCATGAAGTAGTGGAAGTTAAGGAGGGTGAAGATAATGTATCTACTGAAAAAGACAATATAGATGAAACACCTGTTAATTTAAATATGGATACTACTAATTATTCTAAAAGTACTGAAGAAGTAAATACTGGCAAATCATTGAATGAATATAATTTACACGAAACAAGCAGTAATCTGGAAGAGCCACATAATGAAGAGAAAGAAATAACTATCACAGAGAGCACCGAAGAGAAAAAGGTAACTGCTTCAGAGAGTATTGAAGAGAAAAATGTAATTTCTTCAGAGGGTACTGAAGAGAAAAATATAGTTTCTACAGATACTAATGAAGATACAACCGAACAGTCAGTTGAATTGCCACCATTTAGTACGAATGATAATAGTAGCAGTAAAAAAGATGTGAAGAAAAAAATTTGTTTAAAAAGAAATATTGACATAAAAACTACTGTTCCTGAAGACCTAAACATTAATGAAGGGCATACACCTGAAGTATCTCCTAGGAATGACAACGAAAAGTTTGTCTGGGGTTCTTCATATGAATCAAATAATGAAAAAACTAGGAAAAAAAGTCCAAAAAAAGATGAAACAACTGGTATCAGGAATACCAGAAAAAGGATTTCTTTAAAAAGGTTAACTACAGATGAAAGGAGTACAAAAATTATAGAATCTAAAAATGGTGGTACTGAATTGGAGAGGAGCTCTTCTCTTCAAGAACATAATGAGAAAACAAAGGAGCAGGAGGAAGCATCGTCTGCTAAGTGTGAGGTGAAAAGAAGACATAGTTCAGCCTTTGAGAAGTCTCCTAGGAAAAACGAAGGTAACCTTATATTTTTAATAAGTTTTTATTTATATTACATACAAATTCTGTAGGTAATAAATGTTAGTTATTAAAATTTTTATAAAAAAATATTTCTTACAAAAATGCATGGATAATAATAATAATAATAATAATAATAATAAATGTCTTTATTTCCAAGTCAGTAAATAGAACAATTTAATTATGTATGACAGAAGATAAGTAATAATAATAATGAAATCTATATGTACAGCCAAGGATAATCAAACTTATTAGTTATACAACAACAAATAACAGACCCGGAAAGGAGCGAAATATAATAAGAAAGTTATAATTACTTAATTATTTAAACACAAATATCAGATAGGCTATTGAAACATGTAAGTCATACTGACTTATCTTAATATTATTTTTGACAAGTATTAAATAAAAGCAAAAATGCAAGAAAAAATGTATAATCAGTCAGTTTTAAGTAAATTTCCAAATTTATCGTTTTACTACACGTAACGTATATTATATAGTTACTTACTAGTGAAAAGTTATTCCCTTATTTAACTTATTTCTGCTTATTTCACACTACACAACTATCTATTTTACAGCCTTTTTCGGTAAATCTCAATAATGTCACTTAATTCAAAGTTTGACACAAAATTTCCTTCTAGATTTACCACCTCCAAACAAAACCAATTGTACAGTATATGTCCCCAGATTCCCTTTACTAGAGGAAATTTTTTTTTATTAACTCTTTGAGAAAAATGCATTCTTCATAAGAGTTTTTGCTTGTTCTAGAATGGTTAATCTCGTTTATACTTTTCCAAATTTCCATACCATTTTAGAGAGAAATAAAAAAAAAATATAAATATAGTTGATTTTTCTCCCAGAGTCCCAAAAATCAAAACGCATTTCTATGGTAACATCATTTCGTTTTTATTCTTTGATGGATGGTTATTACAGAGACCACTTTCTTAGTAGTGAATCAGTAGTTATCTTTGGTTATTAATTTTGATTAACGTCACATTTTTTTGCTATTTTAAAATGTTGATATAAACACAACATTTATAATCACCTCCTCTGTAACACTGAACTAAATAAATTTTGTGCTTCTTTAATACATTAAAACAATAAAAAATATAATGTTAATCAAAATTAATAATAACCATATCTATCATGGAACAAAAACGAAATGATATTTTCATCGAAACGCATTTTGATTTTTAGGCCTTATAAACCGACAGAGTACCTATTGTAGGACAAGCAAAAACTTTTATGGAAAGTGCATTTTTCTCAAAAAGTCAAGAGTAAAAAAGTTTTTCCTCTCGCGTGGACAATCTGGGGACATACTACAATAAATAACATAAAATAAGTTCAGTTTCCGAATCAGCTTTGTTTCATAGCTTCAGCTACAGGGTGTTAAGGGTGTTAAATACTTAATAATCTGTCAGTTTATTATAATTGTCTTCCAAGTACTTTTAGTGATTCAAATGAAATTTTTAGGGTAAAAGTTACTGTAAGTGCTATATATTTTAATGCTAAAAAAGTGTCGATAAATTGATTAGGAATGTGCATATAATAATAATAATAATAATAAGAAAATTTATTGTAATTTGTGTACATAGATTAGATACAACCAAAAGAATTATAAAACACAATAAACAAAAATATAAAGAAAAGAAAAATATACAAAATTACAAAAAGACTGGAAATACAGCATAACTGATCAAGTTCCAGCCTTGTTTAATGCATTAACATGTAAATAGCAATAATATAAAAAAAAAGAAAATATAAAAAAGAAATACAGGGTTTGCTTAACAAATTAAAATTTAAAAAGGAAAAAGAAGAAACTTAAAAATAGAAATTATATGTAAAATTGTTTAGGAAAACACTAAAAGGAAAGAAGCGCTGCTCAAGTATAATTTAACATTGTTGATCTAGAAGGTGTCGCTTTAAATGCGATTTAAAACTATGAATATATGGGTTATCACTGGAATATTAATAAAAAACATGTGCGCCACTGACTTTTTTCTTTTGATATCAAAATTGTGTAGGCCGTTTAATGTCAATTAAAAGTTATCTTTTGATATTTTGTCGAATTTGGCCTTCTTGATGAGATAAACGCAATTTTATTAATCATAATTAATAAAATAAAAATAAAATTAATAAAATATATATTTTACCTAATTTATTATTAAATATTATTACTATTAGTTATTATTACTATTAGTCCAACCTACAGCAATTTCAAATCAAAAATAATGGTATTTAAGAGAATTACAAAAAACTTAATTTTAAAAGTTTTAACATCCTGTTGCTGTAAAACTATGCATTTCTATACCCATGTTTATAGGGACTTTTTTTATAATTATTTTTGATGAGAAATAAATGTGTAGTTATTTTAAAACTTTCGCAAGTTAATGATATATTACATTTTTTTAAAGGTTGCTATTAGACTTGGATCAAGGCAAATTAAAAAAATTGCGTTTATTTCTTCAAGGAGGCCGAAATCGACAAAATATCAAGAGACAACTTTTAAAGGCATTAAACTGCTTACACTATTCCGCTAACAAGAGAAAAAAAGTCAGTGGCGTATATGCTTTTTTTAGAAAAATATTCCAGTAATAACCCATATGCACGTCCCTGGTGAATATGTCCACACTTTTTGAACTTTAAAATATGTCGCATTTATAGTAACTTTTACCCTGAAAATTTCATTTGAAACGATAAAAGTACTTGGAAGAAAATTATCAAAAAGTATCAGTAAAAACTTTCAAGACAACCCAACTATAGGGAAATTAAAATAACTTCCGTTGCACATCATAATACGACCACCAGCAAACTCCATAAGACGACGCATGATGACGTGCAACGGAAATTGTTCCAATTTCCCTATAGGTAGTTATAGTATTTGTTATGAATAAAATCTAGAAATGTTTTAATATGTTGGTTGATATTTATTATAACTTTTAAACCGGATTTAGATCAGTAATTAAAGTATGTATATTAGGTGCCTTCCTTACTAACAAAATAAATAACTGTTGAGGAGTTTTACGATTTACTGAGCTTTAAAACACCAATAGATAAATAATTCCTTTGTAAAGACATGGTAAACTTTGGCAAAATTGTCAAAATTTATCATATTCTATGATATTCGTTCATTCTAACAGTAAAACAATAAACAATTTATGTCATTTTTTCCATGTATTTTTAAATTATGCTGAGGATTCTGATGGCCTAAATTTGATTACTGTTTTTGTATTAACTTACTGAATATTAAATATGCACTATTTTTCTCATTTTTCTTTTGTTCTTAACAGAAAAATCTCCACGAATGAAGAAACCAACAAAAGTTGTTAAACTTAGGAGAAAGTTAATTTGTGGTGATGAAGAAGCAACACAAAAAGATATTGAGCACAGGAAAACAAAATGGACCAAGTCTGATATATTTAGCAGTATAAATATTTTAAAGCTAGATACATTAAGGGAACTATGCCCTAATCTTGATTTAATACCAGATAATGAAGTAAACCTTGAGTTGGTAAAGGAACAAAGGGTGTCAGAAAAGGAAAGACAAAAGTCTTTTAATGAAATGGAAGCAGAAGAAATGGAAAAAATTGAAGCTGAACTTAATGCCGAACCTGAAGATTTAAGGGAGAAAGAAAATATCATTGCTATGAATAGGAAAATTAGCATCGTTGATGATACGGCCAGTAAACTAAAGCCACCTCCAAGTCCTGCAAGAAATCCTGTTTCAGATGTTTTATACATAACTAATCTAGTGAGGCCTTTTACTGTAAAACAGCTTAAAGAACTGTTGGAAAGAACGGGAAAAATTAGAGAAGATGGATTTTGGACTGATAGGATTAAATCTAAATGTTATGTACACTATGAAACAACTGAGTAAGTAGCTATAGAATTATCTAATACACTACTAATCAGTGGAATGCATATAATGTAGACAAAAAGGCCTACCTCAGACAGAATCATAAAATCTTTTTATATTATTACATTAGACGTTTTTATCTTATTTTTATTCTAGAGGATTCCTAAGATATATTTCAACTATTTTCGGTTACTGCCGTCATCGCGAAATTTCTATACCGGGTTCGTCTCAAAAATGGCCCACCCCTATACCTTTTTTGTTTTTTCAGATAAAATATCGAAAATTTAGTATTGTAGCATATGACATAAATTAGGACTGATTGCCATTTTGAATTCTTTGCGGTCACTTTCTGTTTCACCGAAAATGACTACAACTTTTGATTTTTAAATGGCACCCTCGGTATTTTATTACTTTATTTGATTGAAAATGACTTTTGACATTTTCGAATATGGTTTATTTGAAATTGCAACATGCGATTCGTAACGACAGTTTGACTCGATATACCAAGTGTGTGGTACCAAATTATTCTTAAAAAAATGTTTTTTTTAAATATGCTAATGAGCCACCCTCGTTCCATTTAAAAAAACTGAGATATGATTAAAAATACGATATGGGCATCTTTCAAATGGCCAGGACGAGACACTAAAAATATTAGACGATCAAGTTTATTTTTCCAAGGTTCTGTGACTAAAAATTAGTGTTTTTAACACAGCCATGGCACTCTAGATTGAAATTTAAAATACAGTTTTGTTTCAAGCGAAAATGTCAACAGTTGACATATGATATGTCATAGTCAGAGTGTCATTTTCTCTCGGATAAAGTAAAAAAATATCGTGGGTGCCATGTAAAAATCAAAAGTTCTAATTATTTCCGGTGAAACAGGAAGAATACATCAATCAATCCTAATTTATGTCATATACTAACTTAACCAAATCTCGGTTTTTTTATCTGAAAAAATAAAAAAGTTATAGAGGTGAGCCACACTTTTGCGATTCACCCGGTATAATATTTTCCAAAAAGTCGTTCTGTATGATTTCCGCGAAGACGGATTGATTTACTTTAGGCTACGCGCTGACATGCAATTTTTAATCGGCCAACTTAGTTGCAAAAGTGAAAACACTCCATTCTTATGGAGCCGATCGGCCAACTATTTGATCGCATGTTAGCGGCTTCATAAGAATACAATGGTTATAAATCTGCAACTAAATGAACAGCCGACTGAAAATTGCCTGTCAGCGCATAACATTATATTAAAGAAAATCGAAAAATACAAACGTTTCTCTTTTAACCTCATAACGTGGTCTTGGGATTGAAATTTACCACACCTAAAAATATGTGCATTTATTTACCTGTGTTAGCTACTTAATTAACTATATTATTCTTATTTTATTAATTTACCATTTTTTCCTACCCTGCTTAGATTTTCATTGCACGACACTGCTATTAACGAAATTTAATCATTACTAGGAATAACCTTAACATCAATTTTTATTTAAAAAACTATTTACTATTGTTTGCCTTTTTTAGGGAAGCGGAGGCGACACGGAATGCACTACATGGAGTTAACTGGCCAATTGGTAATGGAAAGAAACTTATTATCGAATACTCAACGGTGGATGTTTTTGAGACTGCTAAGAAACCGCCTATAGTGCTGAGAAAGGAGAAAACACCAGAAAAAGAAATTAAGGTAACGACATGGTTTACAAATATATCAGTTAATAGTAGAAGTTACTTTGAACTTTATAAAGAAGTTTAATAGAATCTCTAAGACATAGGCAAATGAATTAAGTTGAATTATTAAACAAATAACGTTTCTGAGGCCAAATTTAGAAATAGCATAGCTATATTATACAAAATAAGTACACTGTACAGCTAATTTAAAATCAAGATTTATTTTTTTGTTTTTTAAACAGTATCATTTTGGTTCTAAGGGGGTCTAAAATTTTTTAAAATATTTAAATTTTACACTTTCATAAATGTATTTTCTATTGTATATAAAAAACGATTATGACATGAAGTAATTTTTAATATACTAAGGGCTGGCAAAGGTAAGTCTTGGGTCGAGATTTCCGTATGTAAGAAGAGTACAATGCGTTTATAATGTACTGAACAAAGAGAGAACAGTAAACACGTTGCCAAACGTATTGAAATGAATCGAGAAACTGTGCACATTGCTAAGTAAGAGACGTGGAAGGGGATATAGCAGATTTGTCGCAGTTGACCGGTCGACCCAATCAGTACCTCTGTCAGTTCTTAAAGTTCTAGGGAAAAGTGTACACATCATGCGTTCAGCTTCACGATTTAATTACGTCTCGTGATGCTTTATTTTTGTTTATTTATTAACGAGTCGCTATAATTTTCGCTATAGCTTGAAAATTTTTAAGTGCAAGCTAGAAACACTTGAATTTTTGGTAAAAATAAGTGGAATTGAGTTGGTTTTCGACAGTGGTCGGGCTATTAGAACTCTGAATTCAAAAATCGATATCTCCAAATCTATTAGAAATAATTATTGATTGTAGTTTTTTTAAAAACTTTCTTAATATTTCTGCTGCATTTTCTTCATAGACAGTAAGTGAAAATCTTTATCAATAAAAAAATTACACGACTGCTGAAAATTGCTATGCTCTAAAAGTAAATAGATGGGTTATTTACAATTTTTGAATGGAAAAAAACAAACTTATCGATTTTTTCTTATGTAAACATATTGTAAAAGATCCTATCTTCAAAATAAAAAAAGTTTCAATATCTAAAGTGTTTCTTGAGTTATGGCGTGGTATGTGTTAAAAAGTTGAGTTTTTAAATTACCGCGATTACTGACGTTTTCTCGTTATAAAAAAAAATGACACCTTAAAGATATCCTTATAATTCCATTTCAGATGCTCAGAAACATTTCTAATGATTTTATCTAGTTATCTTTTCGAAAAAAAGTCTTTTAAAAATAAGCTGTTTGCGATCGTCATTTTACTTTACTTGATAGGGAAAGTCGTACCGGCAACGTCGCAACAGCACTCCGTCGCATTTCTCTCACTCCGACTTAGTAAGATCCCTATGCGGTTTACTTCCACACATGTAAATATTGACCCAAGAGTAACAGTTGCCAGCACGGTATGATTAGTGAATAGAGACCTAGATAGAGACTAATGTTTTTTTATAAGATATTGTTTTACATTGTATGTTAGAAATGGATTAACTTAATTTGAGCAGGATGTTTTTCCCGCCACATCCAAATATTTGAATTAAACTACTTAGAAACCAGCATGTATGCACTTCATCAGAGTGGTCTTTCTATGGAGTGTAGAGATGAGGGGAAATATCTCTCATGGGACTTTATTTGAAAAAGTGGTCACAAAAATGGGAAGAATAAAGCTACACGCACACTGGTGCGATCACGGCCGCCATCACGGTCACGATCAGGGCAGCGATCATTCTAGCACACACCAACGCGTTTACGTTCAATAAAAATGTATACATATTATGTACTATCCAATCCAATTGCAACTCCAATTTTGTCTCAAACTTTTTATTTTTAATTCTATTATTTTTGTAATTTGGATCGAATAAATCATATAGAATTTTGTGTATTTTTACAGGCTTAATTAGCTGCTCTGTTAACTCCATTTCTAAATTGCAACAAGAAAAAACACAAAAAATAACGGAAAACTCCTATCAGTTGAGTTGCGATCACGCGATCTCTGATCGCCATCTGATCACGCGATCAAACTCGAATCTGATCGCCACCGCAGAATAGAACGCCGCCAGGCCGCTTCGTCTCCAAAAGTCGATCGCGCCAATGTGAAACGGCTCATATGTATTCTTCAGCAACTTTTGGCCGCGGCCGCGTGGAGATCGTGATCGTGGCCGTGATAGCACCAGTGTGCGTACAGCTTAAGGGTTCACCAAATGACAACGGTGGCGCTAATGACGCATAAGCCTAAAAAATGAAAAGTAACCATTTAGAATGTAGAATGAGTAAGAGGGGGGATTAATCACTGCGACCTTAAAGATCTATTGTGTGCCGCCCTTCCTTGAGTCATCACACAGTCTATAACCCATCGTACCCCTGTTGTAGAGGGGACAGGGTATTTCCCATCCGCCTTTGACAACAGTTCTTCCTCCGAGGGTGCACACCCATCCACTGTTGGAGTTTGGCCCTCCGTGCCGCCCTTCACAGTCGAGGAGCTTACCTCCGGCTGAGGAACCCGTGAGGTGGAGGCTGGAGGATCTGTCTCCATTTTCTCCACCTCTTTAACTTGGTCTCTCCTTAGACCTGATACCGTTGTTGTCCCATATCTGTCCTGTAAAAGTAACCATAGATAAGAGAATAAAAGTAATATAACCAGACATTGCCCAAAAAAGCTTTGTTTTTATTTTTTAGAATATAAAACAATTTTTTTTATAATATATTAGAGGCCCAGTCTATTGCTATTGAATAAAAATCAATAATATATTTCATGTGACATGAAAATAAAATTTGTATTTTTTTGAAACCCGCGCTTTCACGTCAAATATTTATCTCTTTTGAATCATTTTCTGTTCTACAAATTTTCGGCGCACATTTTAAATTTTAGGTTTTTGCTACAGCAGCGCCATCTTAAGTCTTCCCTTTTTTATGACCATTTTTTAATGCACGAATATATTTCTCCTTACCTCTACACTCCATATCCTGGTCATAGGTAACATAGTATTCTATGGTATCTATGGTTCTTATCTGGAAGTTACTTATTTACTTAGAGGAAATTTTGACTGTTTTTTTTTGAAGAGCACCTAAATTAAGCAAGTTTCAACGTTTCTATCAATTTTGATTCATTTCCATCAGATTTCTTTCGTGTTTCTCTGTCAAGTTTCAGAGGACGTACGTGAAATTTAGCAACATTGGCAGCCGTATTAGTTATTGGCGCGAGACGGTCGTCGTTTATTTGTAGGCAACGTTGGAGCTTGCTTAATTTAGGCACTCCTCTCTTTTTGTACAGTTGTTTCTTCAACTTTTTATAAAAATGTTCAATAAGAATATTGAAACAATAAGTGATAAAGTGTTAATAATAGAGAAGTATAGCTAAAGTAATTTTGAAAAGTAACATATCACAATATGTCATGAAAAAGAAAGAAATTATTTTTATTTTGTATTAATCGCCAATTTAAAATACCTATTTTCTATTTTGCATTTTAAATACAAATTTAAATAGTATTTTCTATTTTGTATTTAAATAGTTTTTCTATTTTTTTTTTGTATTTTCATTTTAAATGTATTTCAAAGACCATTTTACCCTCCTCTTTAGATGCCCTTTTATTGAGTGTTTAGTTTTTTTCTCGAGCGATGTTGTCGGCAGTTCTGCCGTAACAATATTTTACCCTGTTAGATTTTTCTAACTTTTTTTATTAGAGAAATATGATTGATTAGATATATTTTTTTTTAAATTAGAACGCCACTGAATAATGGGGATTGAAGTCGCCCATAATATGCCCCCTTCGCAGTGTCTAGATTTGTCGATATACTCCTTCCTTAGTACTTTTGTTCAATGATTTCTATTAAAGAGCATTATTATAAATGCTGTCACTGTTAATTTTAAGATTTAGTATTATTTTTATCATGTATCATTTTCAGCTGGAAAAGCCTAAAGAAGAGGTCAAAGAAGAAAGAAATGGTGACAGAGGAGCGACCAGGGAATGGGATATTGGAAGAAAAAACGACTATCCAAGCAGGACGTCACGATCCAGGAGTAGAGAGAGAACAAGAAAACATAGTCGACGATCCTACACGCCAGAAGGTATAAAACAAACTAAAATATATTAGAAATAATTTAATAAACTTCTTAATTTGATGTTTTAGATTATCATTCTAAGAAAAAGAGACGGGAGGAACCGGTTCCGCAAAAAGCGATGGATGATTTATTTTTGAAAACAAAAGCTACTCCTAGTATTTATTGGCAGCCCCTTGCTCCTGAAGAGGTAACCACATACAAATTGTCTGTTTAAAACTTGTATTTCTTATGTACTTTTTATATGTATGTATATTCAATTCGACTATCATCCCCGTGTAATTTTTATATATTAGGAGGAATTATACTGGCTTTAATGTATTTGACGCCAAATTATATGAATTGTATTGTTCTTTATTTCCTAAATAACAGTTAAACATTATTGATATTAAAATCAATACAGTATTAAGTTTATAAGCGAGTTATTGTAATATGTAAATTTATACAATGCAAGATAAAAAAACTATAATTTTTATCAGCAAGGACTGAATGTATTAGGCCCCGTACTTACTATGCATCGATGCGAAGATGCACGTTATTGCGGTTCGTCGATGCGATTCGTTAGTTCCGTTGGAAATTCGTGTTTGTGGCATTTTTCTTTATGGTTCGCCTTAAAACCGACTTCAAACAATACACCGAACCGCGACACAACGCATTGTATAGTGAAAATGGGGTTGCAAGACGAACCGCATATATGCATAGTGAGTATGGGGCTTTAATGGACGAATAAGCTTAAAAAATCATTTGTAAGTAATAAATATAATATTCCACTAGCACTAACTACGATCTGTAGATGGTGCTACATTTTGTCTTAATACTACCAAGCTTTGAATGTTTCTCAAAATATGGCCGTCAGGTTACCATAAATCACAAAGAGGGGGAGGATCATACAGCAAAATGAAATAAGACGGCTTTGCGCATGCTTCACGGTTTCTTAATCATGACTTATCTATGCTCTTAATTCTAACCTACAAATATCTGGAGTTTGGATTTATTTTATTTTATAATTTTATATAGTATAAAGTTATAATATACTAGCAGACTCTGCAACGCGTTACTGTGGTTAAAGTATACGTTAAATTATATTATAGTAAAGTACAGTAGACTTTCGATTATCCAAGCTAATGTGGGCTGTACCCTAGCTCTGATAATTGGCGGCTCAGATAATCCGGATTTTTTTAATTTTGTTTTTTATTAACGTAGGTATTAGTATTTATTATTAAATAATACATTTTTTTTAATATGTATTATTTAATAATAAATACTAATACCTATGTTAAAATATTTTATTAATGATTTTGACAAACAAAAGAACCACTAAAATCAGCTTGTATTGTTTCGCCAATTTTGAGATTCTCGGCAATTCCCCGATATATTAGACCTGATATTCGAATAATACGGCGTCGCTCGGTTAATACGGATTTCAACGGCGGTGTACTCAGGTTCAACTCAACTCAAATAATCCAGCAATCGGATAATCGAGAGTCTACTGTATTCAATACAGTGAACATATTAATTAATAAATATTCTTAATCTAGATTGAAATAAAAATATAGGTAAAATAAACATCAACCGGCAGTAAACGTCCATTTAAAAAATACCGAACTAACGAACCACTTAACTAACGAAGTATCAAAGTACCGAACTACCCGTAATTTATAGCCTTATTCTGATCTATAAGCTATATTGTTGTTAAAGTTTCATTAAAACATTCAATACTTTTTGCGTGAAAGAGTCACAAAAAATGTATACATTCATCCAAACAAACTTTCGCGTTTATAATATACAGGGTGAGTTTCCTACGATGTTCTCTACGGATATCTCAGAAACTACTGGAAATAGAGAGTCGGTTAAATGGAAAAAAATTGCAGTTTTGTGGGGTTATAAATATGCGGCTTTCAGATTTTTGAAAAAGTTCATGGCTTACTGTTTACGCACCATTAGTCTTTTTATTCAAAGTGATAAATTCATTTGATCCAACCTGGCTTTGTTCTTCAATGGCATACTTAGCCCACGTCCAGACAGAAAGCGAGTAAAGCGCCTTAGCGCGTAAAGCGTCTTTTCCGATTAGAAAGAAAATAACACGAACATACCGACCTGATCATTTTAGAAGTGTGGTCTGTGGCCCTAAAGGCGTTAATGTAAGAGAATAATATAAATGACCAGTTGATAGACAGAGAGACAAAATAAAAAGCGGCGTACAGTGTTGCCGGTTTTTACGTTTGTAGTAAAATGTGTGTAGAAGAAAATAAATTATTATTATTATATGTATACTATTGAAATGAAGATAATATGTCTAAGCTAAGTATAATCCACTACAGTAGTTAAAAGTAACTAATTGTGAAAAATAAAGTTCCAACCCTAGATGCAACATTTTTCGGAAACGCTACTACTTGTGCGGTTTGAAATTTTGATGCAAAATCCGGCAATACCGCGTAGAAGAAATGTATCAACCCAACTTTTTTCTCTCTAATACATTTGATTTGTCATTAAGCTGCCTACATCACTGTATTACACATTAAAATTCAGACCACACTGCTAAAATGACGGTATTTGAGTGGCCTGACCAAAAACGTGTAGCGTTTAGCACTTCTTAATATTTAAAAAAGACGCGTTAATCGCTTTACACGCTAAAACGCTTTACTCCCTTTTTTCTGTGGTCGTGGGCTTATTTTTTTCTATTTATATGAGCGGTTGGTTGGGCAAGTACTCTTATATCCTTTAGTACCAGCCGGAACTAGCCAATAGAAATGAGCAAAAAATTGCAAACTGCGATTCAATCGCAGCGATTTTAAAATCGCAATCTGCCATTGGCTCTCATAGGAAACTGCGATTGCGATTTATTCTATTAGTTAGTTTAGTTAGTTCTTCTTACGAGTTTCAATTTAGGCAACCAGTTGGTTCAGCAATATAGCTGCTACTTGCAACTTGTTTGCGATTTTGCTGTGATTGTGACTTTGTAAACTGGGACCTTGACTTTATTTGCGAGTTTGAATTTTTAGTGAGTTGAGTTGTGATTTGCGATATTGTTGCGAATGTAATTTTGTGGTCTATTGAAGCATTTTATAGTAAACTGCGATTGAATTTTCTCTCTGATATTATTTATTTATAGAGCAGGTATTATTTTTCTATGGATAATAATATTCCGGGTGTTTCTCAAGAGTGGTTCAGCCCCATAACTTTTTTATTTTTTCTATAAAAAACGAGATTTGGTATATTAGTATATGACATGAATTAGGATTGATTGACGTATTCAATTGTTTTCGGCCACTTCCTGTTTCCCTGGAAATGACTACAATTTTTGATTTTCAAATTACCTCCTCGGTATTTTTTTACTTTATTTGATAGAAAATGACATTCTGAATAGAATGGCATATCGTATGGCAACTTTTGACATTTTCGCTTAAAAATCGTATTTTAAATTTCATTCTAGGATGTCATAGCTATGTTAAAAACACTAATTTTTAATCAAGATGCCTTGGAAAAATAAATTCGAGATTCGATCGTCTATAGTTTTTCGCGTCTTGCCCCGACCAGTTAAAGGATGCCCAAATCGTATTTTTAATATCTCAATTTTTTTCAAATGGAACAAGGGTGGTTCATTGGCATATTTAGAAAAATCATTTTTTTACGAATAATTTTGATTGGTAAATATGTGGCGACTGTAACCTGCGATTGCGATTTTAAATCGCAGGTTAGGTTAGGTTAGGTTAGGCTAAGTTGCTGGGGTTTGGGATCATGTTTGATCCCTCACTCGGAGACCTTGGGTCCATTGCGATACCCCTGTATTGTTGTACCAAACCTTCCTCTCATTATATCTTTGCGTTAAAGCACTTCCAGCTCTTTGCAAAGTTCCCGATGTCGCTGATGTTGGCTTCTGCTGCTTCGTCTAGTCCCTCCAAAAAACCTTGCCCTAAAGTTTTAAAGCGTCGATATTCCAGTGCCTGAGAGTGGCAGAGCAGGTGCTCTATAGTTTATTCTTCCCCTCCGCATTCTATGCTGTAGTCATCGTTGGAAATTTTCCACCTCACGAAGTTTACCCCCGTGGGACAGTTTCCAGTGACGACACCTACTATTATGCAAATCGCAGGTTCCAGTTGCTGCGATTTAAAAATCGCAAACTCATTTGTTTGCGATTGAAAACTCAAATCGCAGTTTCAATTGCGATTGGGAAATCACAGTTTTGCTCATCTCTACTAGCAAATAAATATTCTGTTTTGTTTTTCAGATCGCTTTGAAACAGCAACAAAGGCAGGCCCGCTTGGAGGAGAACAAGCGTCGAATGGAGGAGATTCGATTTCCTGGACGCAGAGATCAAGGGAGGGAGCGGGATCGTGGCCGAGATCGCAATTTTAGAAGGCGCTAACTTCCATCTCGAGACCGAATTCCTCTCCACACGCGTATTAATCTTAATATTTTTTCTTTTGTAGATAAACGAGTGACGGAAAGCGAGAGTCAGTGTGTGAATGTTAATGTTCCTCTTTCTCAAATCCCGTTCCATCATTTTTTCTTCCAACTTTCCGCTTATTCAATCTAATCTCCTGCAGTTTTTTTTCAATTTCCAAAGTAATAAAACATACATATTTTTTTTTTAGTTAAAACGATTTCTAACCAACTGTTTTTACGTTTTTTTTAGATACGCGTTTGTATGAATGAGAAAGAATGAATGTAATGTTGTAATCCTAATTTTTATAGGATTTCCAGTTGCACGTCTGTTCCATCGAGGGAGTTTCTAGTAGTATTTTGATGTTGGTACTGCAGTTGGTACCGAACCGAAGAAGCAAGAATGAAATTCAAAATTGAAATTTGTTTTTAAGGTAAAACACAAATCAAGTCATATAATGAGTGATAACTCCAGTTTGTTATAAACATTTGATTACTGTATGATAGCGTTATTGGGCTTATAATAAATGTATACAAATAGATTTTTTTATTTATTTATTTTAACTGGTTAATAAGCTTAATTAATAAATTAATAAGCACATAAAAATTGGCAATTTATAGGCTTGGTGCATTTCGGTCAATTTTAGGAATTTCGACAGTAGCGCTCGGTACGGCAGGAATCAAAACTTTCCGGTGCTGTATTTTACGCAATTCCAGTTGCCGTTCATGTTAATCGCACTGAAATAATATTAATATCGTGGCTTTGTCATATATTTAAGTAGGTATTTTAGTTTTTACAAGTGCAGTTATTGAAACTATATTCTCAGGTACGAAGTTTGTGTGATGTAGCACCGTTTCGGGTAGTAAAAATTAAGTGAAAAAGAACCCAAACTGGGCGATGCGTTATCTTGTGACAATTTAAAATGATAATAAAATTGCCGAAAAAATGTCAACATGACAAGTAGAGCATAATTGCGTGCTTGTTGAGTGTAATAACAATAGAACTCTCCCGGAACAATATATTACAAATCACACCGATTTGATCAAAAACAAAAATGAACTCAGGCAGTTCGACGAAACAAGTGAGTAAACAGTTGTTTACTCCCTTGTGTGCATTACACAATCATAAAATTAAATAGGCATGTCCTACTATGAGGATAAAATATAATTTAACCAATATTAATAGTATACGTCTTTTTAATCAACTAGTGCTTAAACTTTTTATGACCGTGTTCTAAAATTATAATTATATATACCTTTAAAGAATTACTTTACAGTCCAGATAGCCCTAGTTATCTCCCAAATCGGTGCATAAAACTATGGTCGCTAGGGTAGTTGAAGCAGGCGGCGCGGCATGTTATTACTAATCTACAAAGTTTATTAGCTTGAGTAATAAATTATAATACACGTTATGAAGGTATCAAAAGATTTACATTTTTAATTTTTTTACAATCTTTCCTGAACTCGCTATTAATCCGTGTGTTTGTTTAGTCGGCTTTTTACGGTATTCTACGATGGTGACAGCAACGGCGGAGAATGCACCAAGCCTATACATATAGGAATCCCTAGTTGATCAATAGGATATATGGTAGGATATAGGCATTTGCACTGTAAGTTTATCGCTCTACAGAGTGATCCAGTGAATGAAAAAAGCTCCCTATCTTCAGTACATTATTTCCATTTGGTATACAGGGTGGTTCAACACAAATATGTGCCATCTCCAGTGGGGAGGTTGCTCGTATAAATATAAGATTTATTTTTCATATCAACGTATATCCGATTCTGCTTTGTTTTGTACACACAGGGGGTTACAGGTTACATTCTTCTTTTTTACCTATAATTAATTTTCTTCCAAGAGCCTGTGGCAATTCGAATGACATTTTGAGAGTGAAAGTTACTTTAAGTGGTACATATTTTAATGATAAAAAGTGTCGACAGATTTACCAGGAATGTGATTATTATAGGTTATTACCGGAATATTTTGTAAAGAAACTACGTTACTGACTCGTTACAGCACAATTATGTAGGCCATTTAATGCCAATCATTCGATTTTCGACTGGTATTTTGTCGATTTTGATTTCCTTGATGAGATAAACGCAATTTTATTAAACTCAATTAATAAAATTAAAATATAAAAAATGGTATTTATTTGATCTAATTTATTATTAATTTTTATTAAAATTTTTAACACTGATGTTCAGTGCTACCTACAGTAAATTAAAAAAACGGTATTTAAGATAATTACACAAGACCTATTTCTTAAAGTTTTTACATCCTGTATCATTAATATTTGAATTCGAAAAATACAGGATTTCTTTAAAAAAATGACAAGTTTAGTATAAAAATATATTTGAATCGCCCTGTATATCTACAAAATTCTAAAAAGTTCGCTACCATTATCTAAATATTTTATAAAAAGACAGAATGGAAGAATTATTAAGAACCTGGGGGATATGGAGTTTTTTTGGAACACTAGGTCTTGTATAATATTTTATTATGAAATTATAATGAGTTCAGATATTTAAAAGAATTTTGGTTACATCCAGTAATAAAAAAATCTATAGTGTTATCTTAGAGTATATTTGTTCATACACCACAGCCATTCTAAACAATATTGTTGGGCCTGAAAAAATGCAGGTACAATAAGTATTACAAAAGAGTTTATTAATGAGAAAGTAGGTAAAATAATTCGATTAATTATATAAAGAACTATATTATAACTCTATCTATAATACAAGAAATAAATAAAATTATATCTAAATAAGAATTATAGAGTCGTTAATATGTTTAAAGTAAACCTACCTAAAACATCTATAGACTATAATAAGGAGTTAGGCACTATAAAGACAAGTATTTGACTAGAAATCTACAAATGAACACTTTCATCAGAATTTTACTCATGTAATGCTTATTTTATTGATGTATAAATGTATAGTGTATCCAAATATATGAGAGAATATATAACAGTGACAATTATGTCTGTCATTTTAGTTGAAGCAGAGGTTGAAGAGTATTCTTTCTGTTAATTTTTGGATGTCTTTTCTCTAGTATTAGTGCATATACCATAAGAATGGAAAAAACGTGTCAGTGTTGGCTTGGAAATGAAGATCGCTGCCATTTTATAGGGGGAATGTCGTAGATCGTTATTTCCAAGTCAACCTGACGCTGTTTTTTTTTCAATCGTAGATAAAAGGTATATAGATATATCAACGCCATCCTAAGTCAGCTTTCTGTATTTCTAATGCGTAACAAAAGGGAGGTAAAAACTATGTCTACATTTTAATCAGTTGAGAGACCCAAAAAAGGGTCTATGAGTATTACTGAAATAGGAGTATATAAGTTTTCTAGCTTGAAGATTTTTTTGTTAAATTTAGATTTAAAATCCTTTAGTGTAAATAAACGTCTACGTTAAATTAAGAATATAGGATATTTATTGGTTTAGCATTTTATTAAGCGAATCTAAACATTTCTGAGTAAAATTCTGTGTACAAGTTTGGTCTATCTAATTATAACTAATATTTTCTATTGTTTTATGAAAAAGTAGCTCTTCCTAAACTTTCTAGTACCTCACAAGCGTGTAGTTCGATTGTAGCAGCTAAGAAAAAATATTTTAATTAAACAAAATAATAGAGTAGCAGTGTCAACCCACTATAAATATTCTAAGGGCTGGCAAAGGTTAGTCTTGGGTCGAGATTTCCGTATGTAAGAAGAGTACAATGCGTTTATAATGTACTGAACAAAGAGAGAACAGTAAACACGTTGCCAAACGTATGAAATGAATCGAGAAACTGTGCACATTGCTAAGAGACGTGGAAGGGGATATAGCAGATTTGTCGCAGTTGACCGGTCGACACAATCAGTACCTCTGTCAGTACTTAAAGTTCTAGGGTAAGGTGTACATCATGCTTCACGACTTAATTACGTCTCGTGATACTTTATTTGTTTATTTATTAACGAGTCGTTGTAATTTTTTTTGCGATTTACTTCCACACATGTAAATACCAACCCAAGAGTAACAGTTGCCAGCACGGTATGTAACATCAAACGTTCTTTGGCTGGGAATTTGATATGTGGAAATGTTATGGTAATTTTACTTGTTTCGATTTTAAAGCCATAGTTTTTGAAAGTAGTTAAAAATGTGTAATACATTCTAATCTAAATATCTAAACTAAGACAACTAGGTAATATTGAAATGCGATATAATCTAATAAATCTCTAAAAGTTAGCTTACCATTTTAACATTCTTGGTTTAGTTTATTAATTGTTCTCTAGTTTTAAGCAATATTTTGAAATTAAGCCACAAGAGAAACGAACTTTAATAAGTTCTAATCTAGATTAACTAAACATTGAATATTTTCAAAGATGGGATTGGTCTAGTACGACGATAGCCTGAAAGTTTCCAACCTCACCAAATCATATATGTGTATGGCAGCCTTGATGCAACAAAATATGAACAATTGGTTTGCATGTCGCGTGACAGACTCTAAGACGACCTTGCACACACGGGTCGTCTCAAACTCGAAACGAAAGCGTCTCGAACTCTGCTTTCTACGTAAATTATAATAGGTCCACGAATGGGTTGTTTGGCGGTCGACGCCGAGTTGATATGAATGATACTATTATTTACAGTTTAAGTTTTGAGACTACTAAGTTTCCAATCGTTTTGTATAGTTTGTAATATATACTCTGTCCAACGACTCAGGGAGGATTTCGACAGATGACATCCAAAAAATGACAAAATACAATTTTCTTGTTAGTTAAAATGACAGATAAAATTGTCGCTGTCAGAGAACCTGTCGTTGGACAAACTAACATGCTCACGACCAACTTTTGAAGACAGACAAGCTGGGTAGCCACGGTGGGACAGAGTGGGGCAGTTGCCTAGCTCATGCATAAATTCTCGTAGTTCAAGTCAATACTCAGTCGAACCAAAAATTTTAATACTAAAAGATAACGTAATTTTTATATCTATCAATGTCGCTAAGTAATACTGAGTGCAATTGGGCACATTGTTATTGATATAAACTAATTGATAAAAATAATATTTGGTATGTTGAAGAATGGTAGACATGAAAAGTACCTACTAGCAAATCAACGAAATAAAATGCTTTTTGAACCGGAAAAAAGTATGGCACTCTTTTGTAGACCATTGGTAAGAGCACCAAAAACAAATGTTTAGATTTCTTTGACTTTATTGACAATACAGTGGAAGAGTTTTTAAGTTTTCAAAATATCAGATTTTTCAATTACTCCAGATATCGTGTATAAAATATAATTAAAAATTTCCGATTTCATATACACCAACACCAACATAATCATGCCCAAATTTTATAGATGAAATTGAGATTGGCTCAAGGAACGAAAAATAAATTTGAAATCACAGGTAGTTAAAGCGTTATTGAGTAACGTATGTAACAACACATGTTTTTCTATCTACTTTGACATTTTTTTGCTATGCTCATCAGATAAGGCGCTAGAAGAAGTGAGTTCAGAAACTATTCAGACTACCCTCGTAAACATTTTACAATAACATAAGGCTTACCTTTCTAACAGTCTTCTTTTTAAATCTGGGGGATAAGTGACATAGATGTACTCATTGTCCTTATCGCCGCCTATGTAATCCTCTGAATAAACGTGGTGGCCATCACTAGTAGACACTATATCACCCCTCAGTAAATGCGCGGGTGACGGTGTCGATCTGTCAGTAATACTAGCACTAGTAACGCTGACATCGTCTGTACTAAAAATACTGATATCGGTTTTTGTGAATCATAACAGATTCTGAAATATATAACAGTATAGGCCTATTTTATTAAATAACGACAAATTTTATTCTCTGCCGTGTTATTGTGTGTTATTAGATTTATATTTTATCTTCGCTTATAATTTAGAGTTCTATTTATTAAAACGTTTAGAAAAAGAATAAAAATATATTCTATTATACATAACTTCTATTATACATAAACGTCTTCAATACCTACCGAGTGTTTTTTTAAAAGTGGCTTATCCCTATAACTTTTATTTTTTCGGACAATAAAACGAGACTTGGTCTGTTATATATGACATAAATCAGGATGGATTCACGTCGAGTACTGTCTCACTGTTGGAATTACATGTACCATTGCGATCAAAAAAAAGTAGTACAAGAATTAGTAGTCCCAGATAGAACTCTTGGTCTATAAGGATATCGAGAAGTGGATATCGTCGAACAATACAATAAAATTATGCCACCTAACTTTTTAGGCGTTACCATGAATTTGGTAATAATTGGTAGGTATACGTGGCGAAATAAAAGTATAAAAAAGTTACCTACCTTTTAAAAATGGGCAATTTTTCAAGTTTTTTTAGCCGATCATACCAATAGGTATGGTAGGCTATTAAGATCGGCAAAAAAAAGTTTTTTTAATTTCACTCAAAATGAGTTATTTAGACCATAAATAACCTAAATACAAAATATTTTCATGGTGTCTGTCTGTCCGTCTGTAACACGATAACTCAAAAACCGCTAAACCGATTTTAACCAAATTTGGCACAAAATGTGGCACCCGAGAATCTGGCCATTAGTTTTTGGTGGGGGTGGGGGTTGCTAAGGGGGTATGGGAGGGGGTTAAAAATTTAAAAAAATCGTAACTCCAAAATTACAGTAACTAGCGTAACGCGGTTTTCAATTTAAGATTAGGAATACTATTTGCAACAAAATTTGTAATAACATCAAAATCCGTCAGAGTCGCAGTTTTTGAGATATTCCGTGTTTCCGTAATCCGTTCTCCCATCGGACGCGACCCCAGGCGGATAGGGGAAATAACCGCGGACCAAAATTGGAAAAATTCCTTTACTTTGAAACTAAAAGAACTGCCTACCAGCTTTTTATTTTATTAACATATTTACTTATTTTAGTATGGGCGGCTATATGTGCCTTCCGGCGCCAATTATTTGTTTTTATTATAAACCAGCAGATTAAATCATATTTTGTTGTACTACTTTTTTTGATCGCAATTGTACATATTCTTGGCAGTCGTTGGCATCAGTCTTACGGCAGTCGACTATAATTATATGGCAGACATAGGCAGTCTTCTTCTCAGTCATTGGCAGTCGCTTGGCAGTAAAAGGATATTTTGGCAGTACATGTACATTTTTTATCCAAGTGAGACACCCCTTGATTGACGTATTCAAATATTTTCGGTTTGGTTAGAGAAAATGACAGTATGAATAGAATGATATATATTATTATGTCAAGTTTTAACATTTTGAATTAAAAAACGTATTTTAAATTTCAATTTAGGGTGCAATGGTTGTGTTCATAACGACAATTTGATTCGAAATACCAAATATGTGGTACCAAATTACTTGTTAAAAAAATGCTTTTTCCATATATGCTAATGAGCCACACTCGTTTTGAAAAAATTGAGTTATGATTAAAAATACGATTAATCTTTCAACTGGCTAGGAAACGCCACGAAAAACATTAGACTATCAAATGTATTTTTCCAATGCTCCTTGATTAAGAATTAATGGTTTTAATACAGCCATGGCATTCTAGATTGAAATTTAAAATACTATTGACTTTAAGCAAAAATGTCAACCGAAACTAATTGAATACGTCAATCAATTCTGATTTATGTCATATACTAACATGCCAAATCTCGTTTATATCTGAAAAATAAAAAAATTACCTATAGGGGTAAGCCACTTTTAAAAAATACTCGGTATAAACGTCATCGCGTATTATTTTGTGTTATTTCACTTTTTGGAAATGGAAAATTTAAATAATAATGGAAAAATTAGCAATAGATAAAATAAAATTTAATTCAATAAATTTCTTAAATTACTCTCCGTAACATTACACATTTGTAAGTTTATTATAATTTAATTTTTATCACACTATTAGCTAACTATTAGCGACATTACAGTTTTATTAGTGATATATCCTTCTTTAATATTTAGATAACAGTTATAATTATTTAAACCTTATGTAATAGTTTATAGTACTTACTCAAATAACACCCATACAACGTAGTAACAGAGACACACCCCTAGAGATAGTACCATCATAACCATACAAAGCAATCCCCATGGAAACGATTTTATGTCTGATTGTGAATCTTCCCAATATCTGTCACATGTTAGATACCAACACACTGCTCTGTTGAATTCATCTAAAATATGAACCAAGAACGTGTTTAATTGAGGCGGCTGGAATTTAAATTCTAATCTGTGATAATGATGAACAAAATATATTCTGTATCAATCAATTATCATTTCCAGTTGAAATTTTAATCTTTCTATAATAACTAATTTTGATGAAAGAGTCTACTGTTTTTATATTATTGTATTACAGATGGAAACGACATCATGACACACCATTTTTAACAGTTTTCTTTGGCGTCGTTTCACTTGACATATTTGAAACTGATTTTAATTTTTGCTGATTTGTTGGCCTTTTTCCTGAGTTTATTTTATAATTAATTGGTTTTGTGCAATGGTACAAATTTGGGAAGATGTTGTGTTAGGAATTGAATTATATATAGTGCGATTATTATGAATCTTTAAAAGATTCTTGAAAATAGTTACTTGTGCAGTATGCAAGGCAGTAAGCATGAAAAATAATCGAACAAATTTTCACTGGTAATGAAGTTGGTACAGCTGGTTTCACTTGTACAACTTTTCATGTACTGCCTTGTTAACGAAAAAGCTTTAACACCATTGGGGTTTAAGTGTGTTATTAAAAAGATAAAGGTATTTTCCAACTAAATGAAAAGCCAAAACGCATTCCCTTTCTTTATTTTCGGACTTTTATTGTTCATTATTATATCGACCATTAAATACGTATTGTCTATTTATTTTACTTATACAACGTTTGGGTCAGATGTATCACTGACCGTTATCAAGTGTGAACCAATCTAAAATCCTAAAACTACTTATATACTAGAGCAGAACATTCACTCGTGAAATAGTTGGGTGTAGTCAAGCATGAGGTTGTCCATTGAGAATACACCCATTGGTCCGTTTTATGGTTACTTGGATCCCTAAAGCTCTTATTGCTAGATATGAATACGGCTTCTTTAAATTAAGGCTTTTTCCAGTAGAGGTGTAAAAGTATCGAAAATTTGAGTACTCGTATGTATTCGTTACTTAGCTAATTAGTTACTTAGTTAGTTACTTATGTTAATTACATTAACTTCGTTAATGTGTCATTGGTGAAACATCTAGACCCTTAAATGTTCGAATTAAAGAACATAAAGATTATTAAGAAAGGGAGATTTTCAAATGATTTGTTAGCATTCATGGGACACAGGGCACAGAATAAATTTTAATAACGCCAAAATTATGATGAAAGAAGCGATAGCCTCTAAAAGAAAAATAAAAGAGGTTTTTTAATACAATCTAATAAAAATAAATGTATTGCTCATGAATCTGTAGATATTAGTAATGTATGGCAATCGCTTCTTTGATTTTAAAGACTATAACATAAATAAACATAACATACGTAAAAATTAAAAATAATCATACAGAAAGTTTGGGGCTTTTTGGTTTTACCTTATTAAGTAATTGTTATCAGCTTTGAATAAGAAGACTAAGGAAGGAGCATAATGCTATCCATGTATTCATGCATGGTGGGCGGAAAAAGCTCTCTAGGGTGGGGATCCTTGACAGTTCTGTTTGACGATTCATTTGACACATTTGAATTTGATTTGAAATTTTGTGGATTTGTCAGTCTTTACGGAGCTTATTTTATGTTATTTATTATTTATTCTACTACTGATAGTTGTATAAAGGTAGTAAATCTAGATGGAAATTGTGGCAGAACTTAAATTAACAGTGACATTATCGCGATTTATCGAAAAAGACACTAAAATAGTTGGTTGTGTAGCGTGCAGTGAATCTCGGCAAAAACTGAGTGAAATAATGGAAAAACTTTTCGCTAGTAAGTGACTATATATAATATACATACGTGTAGTAAACCGATCATTTATGAAATTGATTTAAATTAACTAAATTATATATTTTCTTGCATTTTAGCTTTTATTTACTACTTGTCAAAGATCAGATGTCAAAGAATTTTGATACGTTAATTTGACTTACCTGCTTCAGTAGCGTATCGGATGTTTGTGTTAATAAATACTTATTATAACTTACCTATTTTTATTAGAATTATATATTTTTATAACAATTTTAATAACTACCAACATTTATTTACAACGTAAAATAAAATTACAAATTATTGAGTCTATCCCACGTCCACCCTACATCATAGTTTTACATTTTTTAAATAAAATTAGAACGGCACTGATAAACCGGAATTTAAGTCGGCCATATTTGAGGCCCATCGCGGTGCACCTAAGATTTTTGATATGCTCCTTCCTTAGTCTTCTTATTCAAAGCTCCTTCCTTAGTCTTCTTATTCAAAGGTTATCAGGTAGTAATTGTTAATTTTGAAGTTTAACTTGATATATAATGTCATTTTAACAGAACGTCAATTGTTTTTATAGACGTATCTGTTTTAAAAAACTAAATGTTCTCGAATAGTTGAATTTAAATATTTTAAATAGTTTTTTCTTTACTCTTTGTATTTTTTTTGATTCCGACGACGGAAAGAGATAAACTTTCTGAAACGTTAAGAATTTTTTTGTTCGTCACGCAAATTTGTATATCAGTAAACCTAACTTCTGACAAGTAGTTTCCGTTTGGATTAACGCAGAAGTGTTTACAAAAAATAACTATTTTATTTTGTAGATTTTCTTACAGTTGCGAAATACCCATATAGACTTTTTTGGACAAAAAAACTTTTGAGTTAACAAAAATCAAAATTTAATTATAGTCTGCCCTCTTTGGACAAACTATAGTTCAATTTTGTTTTATGTTTACTAATTACCTTCCACTTCTTTAAAATCCTTAATACTTAGTTCAATTAGCAAACTAGCTATACAATCTCTAACCAAAATCTCACATTTCGTCTTAATTTTCTGCAACTCTTCCGGTTTGCAGTTGGCTTTTAACTTTTGAATTTCGTTGATGCGTTGCTGTCGATTGTCAGGTGCCGGTAGAGCCGAATCTACCAAATCGCTCTGGCAAACGTCAGAACTGGTATTTTGTAGAGTTTTGTCTACTTGGTTCGATGAGCTGCTTTCTAAAATTAAAAAAAAACGTTAGGGGAATACGTTAAGGCGGAGATTGACATGACCGAGCGCTCTAGTGTAAAGGTACGTTCATAGTCATCACGGCTCACCATCAAAAATTTTACGAATATTTCCGCATGCAGAAAGAAACGTTGAAGTATATTTCCAACAAGATTGAAAACCGTTTAAAAAAATTCTGAATGAGTACCCCGAGTACAGAGCTGCAAGCTCACAGAAAACTTAAGTCTTTTATGATTTAAATCATTTTGACAACTTAAGTCATTTTATTTTAAGTCCAGTTTTTTAGTCTCCAGTGGACAAATTAAGCACTTTTGTATAGAGGTAAATTGTGTTCAATTAACTTGTTTTGATTCCAAAAATATGTAGTAATTCTATGCCCACGGAATATTGTACACCCTGTGTAACTATAAAACAAGGAGTAGCGTATCATAAATATATAAATTGTGAAAATCAAGTTGGGTTTGCGGAAAGGATTAGTTGTAGATCGAAATGGATAATTATTTTTTAGTAAGAAAAATTAATTATATCAAATTCCTACCTTTCATGTTTGCAGCCTCAGGAGCGTCTGTTTTTTGGCACCGTTTCCTCAGTTCTTCCTGATCAGCTTTCCCATTTTTTTGCAAAAATACGAAATTATCTGTCTTGACAGTGTATTTAGCTACATCCCGTGGTCCAGAAGTTGTTAGTGCTTTAGTATATGAAGATCCCTCTCGCCATATTTCGATATCCGTATTATCGTGGTCCGAAGAAGTAGTTTTAAGTTCTAAACTGTTGATCACGTCGCATCTCATTATATCGCAATAGTCTGCTAGACACACGGCGTCTTCAGCCTAAAATCCAGGGTTGTTATATTTTAAACGTATTTAAAACACCATTACTTTTTTAAATATTTGTTTAAAACTGCTTTTAAGCTGCGTTTAGGCTGCGTTTAAAACAGTTTAAAATCATCCTGTTTTAAATCATGTCAGTCCTTTTAACTCATTATAATAGAAAAAAACTTTGTGCTACGACTCGGAGAAGTTCTACAAAAATCCAGATAAGTTTTGGCTTAAGGAGGACGCGCTGAATCGACTCGGACCGGTTGACTCGACTAAGAGCTGTAGGCAGGTTTTGGTTTACATAGAAATAAAATGTAATCATCGGACCGGTCGACGAAACCCCGCGCACGCGTAAGTTTTGGACCGGTAATCGATTTCATTTATATATATTTATACCAAAAGCTGCTGGTAGCTCTTAGTCTAGTCGATCGTCTGAGTCGATTCAATGCGGGTCCTCTTTTATCGTTCCCCAACCTATTTTTTAACTTTGAATACTGTCTGTTTGAATAAATGATTGAATAAAAATGGCCGCATGATTGAATAAAAATGGCGTCACAGATGGCGGGGAACAACGACTAAAGAAACAAGGACCAGTAACACCCGAAACCAAATTGTTACAATGTCTCCAAACAGTGCCATGTCACATATTTTTCTCAATTTTGGTGCTTCAACAGATATTTATATTTTTGATAAATATTTTTACTAGGCCTTTGGTCTATGGTTCTTTCTCATCATTGCGACTTTTACACTTGAAAGCTGAACAAATCACCATTGTAATAAAGTTTATACAAAGTTCACTGCACACAACAAATTATTAAAAATCGCTAAAATTGCCGCTGGAGACACACCCGTTGTCTCAAAAAAAAATGGCGTTTAACAACAGAAATTCAGCTCCAGTCCATAGGAGATGGGCGTTACGAGTCCCTGTATTCTTTAGTCAATGGTGGGGAATGGCAATCGGTAATAATTTTGGCGATGTCGATCTCTAGAAGTCATTTATTTAAAAATTACATAAAACTTGTCAAAAATTAATACTAATTGTAGAAAGTTTAAATAAGGATAGAGCGTTTCCAGGCACATAAACCTATTTCCAAAAAAATATTTTTTCTCTAATTTTAAACTACCTACATCATTTAAAAATAATTTTTACTCAGTATAAAAATAACTTACAACCTTTCTAAGGCCAACTGGCGGTAAGTATTAAAAAAAGAAGAGTAAAGGCCAGGCAATGACGTCTAGGGTTTGACCTCGCCAAAATTATCATCGATTGTCATTTCTCAGCCGTCTTTGATGCCGTTTTTTTTTCGATCGTATGGTATTAGACATAAACCCTCTTTTGGAGTTGAAATCAATTTAAAAACAGGAAAAACTATAAAAAAATGTTTTGATTTAAAATAAAGCCGTTATTTTTAAAGCCTGTTACGCACTGTTATTTTTCTAAATAATAGTTATACAATAGCAATTCATTAAATAAAAACCTGTCTCTGTTGTTAAAGTATTTCTATAATATTTTTTTTGTGCACAACAACTATTACCATGTTTATATATCCTTTGTGTCGATTGTCAAAGTGCATATCTAAATATTTCTCTTCGAAAAATGATTTTCCGCATATGCCGCAGGTCCATTGTGAAGGTCTGTGTTGTTTTTTGGCAGCTTGTTGTGGACCAAATATGTCCCGTTGAGGATGAAAGGGGCATTCTAGTGGTAACTTAACCTATTTTAGACATATTAATACATTTAATATTAAGTTATTAAATTAAGCATGTAAAATTATTTTACCAACAACAAGGTGTTTTACAGAATGATAAAATAGTAAAATTCAAAATTTCCCTGCTCTTTAAATTTGGTATATACACAGGGTGGTCCAAACTGTATTCCGGAAACTTCGGCAGCATATTCTGCAGATTAAAATAAGTAAAAAAAGTTCGTATAAATGTATTGCCTAAAATGCTTAAATTCAGAGATACAGGGTGTAGAAGTTTCATTTTTATTTCTATTTTTCCTAAATAATTTCTGAAGTAACGTCAATATTTTGATGAAAATTGGTATCTGGGAGTTTTTTGACATGATAAATTTGATTTTGATATCAATATGACTCCTACTAATAGAGGGCGCCGCCTACATGTGTTTTAACTGTTTTAAAGCGTAATAACTTTTTTCCGTACTTGTATAAAACTACCGAGCCAAAAAAATTACATCTCTGTTACTTTTTGCGTAAAAAATATGAGGCGCCTAGATGCAAAACCAGATATTTCCAATTTTCTGATTTTTGCTGTAAATGTATGGATATTTTTATTTTCATAAAAATGCGTCGATTAGAAGCATAACCAACATTCAAAATAAGTTATTTCGCATACCAAATCTTGGATAAATATTTCTCTGAAGTTCAAAGCAAGATATATACAATGATATAAAACGCGCAAATGCAGATATATCCAGCAACGTACAAAATCAGATATTATCCATACGATATCCATGCGGAATAATATATATATAATAACCAAAATCAGTTATATCCGTGGTACGCCGTTGCTGGCTAACTCTGTATTATTAGTTTTATTGTAAACAGTGTGGTGAGAAGACTTTGTCGTTCAATATTCAAAGTGTTTTTAGTGTGTTTGTTTTATTATAATTAGGAATATGACTGCCCCGACAGAAAGAACCCCTTATTTAGCTCGAAAGAAAGTTAAAAATGAAAAAATATGGAAAAGAAGTGCTGCATTGGAGAAAAGGTAAACGTTTCTTTTCTCGCGTAAAGTTTTTAAGTTGAAAATAGCGTGTATTTTAGATATTCAGCTAAAAAACCACCGAGTTATCCCGTGTGTCAACATGATACAAAGAGCTTTAAATGCTTTCAGTTATCTAATCTTGACGTAACTCAATTTCATGCAAAATTTTACAAGTCTCGTATCAAGAAGGATCAGGATGCATATATCATCAAACACTGCACCATAAGGGTTCCTAAGAGAAGACGTCCATTGAAAAATAAGCGAGATAGGTTGAGAAGCAAAATTCAAAATCAGATTAAAAAGTACAGTAGTATACAGTAAAAAGTTATCCAGCGTGTTTTGTTAGAAGTATAAATAGAAAAATACGAAGATAAATAAGTATAATAGAAAAATTATGAGAAATTAAAATAATATTCAAAAATGTAATAATAAACCAGGCTTTTCATTTAAAATTACATTGATTCTACTACTTTCTAAATAAAGTGACAACAATACAATCTTGAAAATAATAGTCCATGGAGCAGAAGCATTTATCTAAAGATCCAAATTTTGAAAAAAAATGGCCCTGTCCGTTTTATATACATTTAACATACCATCGTCGTAAATTACTCTGTATAGTGTATATTATAAATGTCCTCCTATTCATTAAAAAATGATCTGAAGAACCACCTTATTTTGAATATTTCTATTTTTTCTTATGGAATATTTAACTCTTTAACTTGCAAAATAGTGTTGTTTAATAGATAATACAAGTTTATGGCCAACTTCATTAGATTTATTTCTGACCATAATATTTAGAAGATACCGTATATGGAAATAAAACGGCGGCAATGACGGCTGGGGAATTACAATCAATTATAATTTTGGCGAGGTCAATCTCTAGACATTTACTGTATTATATAAAAATTGACATAAAATCTGTCAAAAATAAACACTAATTATAGAGAGATTAAAAAAGGATACACACAAATTTATTTCTACAAAAAAAAAATGTTCTCGAATTTTAAACTATATCATTTAAAAATCATTTTTACTCAATATCAAAATAAAATACAATCTTCTTAAGGCCAACTGGCGGTAAGCGCCATTAAAAAATAAAGAAGAGTATGGGCCAAGTAAATGACATAAGTTGACTTGACCTCGCCAAAATTATCATGGATTGTCATTCCCCAGCTGTCGTTGACGCCGTTTTTTTCGATCATATGGTATTTCCCTAATTAAAGAAATGTATTTCATATTTCGCAACAGTTGTCCGGCGACATACGTATTTAAAATGACTGATTAAAAACATATTTTTTGCTTACCTTGTATTTATCTAAAACTGGAATCCATTTGCTCTGGACTATTTTTCTTACTATCCTTGCGTTATCTCTTGGACAAGATATTTTGAAAATTGTTGGACCCGGCCATGGAATCAACGATAGCATCAACAAAGTGATGACTATCTACAAATATTAATATCTTATTTGTCTTTCTCGTATTATGTAGAAGTTATAAAAACACTGCCTAACCAAACCAAAAATAAGCACTCTAAATATTTAATTAATGCGATCGATACATAATCTTACAGGTTACGAATCACCCAATTTTAAAAATCTAACTTTGACAAGATTTTTCCACTTAGAACCAGTTTGATATTTACATTGTTAAAAATAACCAAGTATCGATCTTAAATTCGATAACTAAAAAAAAGTTGCTTTTACATGTAAATTCTTACCGGAAAATTAAGGCAATTAGTCCTCATTCATACTGTTTTGTTAGGACATGGGTTTCAAATATAATTTAAAACTATCCGCAAAAGCCGCTATTAACATTTCACCTATTTCGAGTTTTGTTTTAAAAATCTGAATGGCGCATGCGTCCTAGAAGGGCGCACGTCGTTTGGAAATAAGGGTCGATTTTCAAGACCGCCCTTATCACCATAACAACCAAACGTACACACCTTTTATTTGAAATTGGAAACTTCCGCGTTTTTCTTTATCTACTTATATCTGAAATATTATTATTGGGAAAACATACAGGGTGCGAACATACATCGTCGTTGTTGAGAAAGATATGAAAAAAAAGTTTAATATAAATGTTGCATGGTTTATAAAGTTGAATATCCTAAAAATATTTTGTTGTATACAGGGTGTCCTAAACAAGCAATGATGAAGTTATAAGTTTTTATAAATTGCAACTCCAATTTTCTGAAAAACCTGATCCTGAAAGAATCCAACTAGATGAAAAAGAAATACTGCGATCATAGGAAGATATTTGACATCTGGGAATAATCTTAAACAGTAAACTCCTGTGGAATGGGCTTATATAAGAACATTTTCAGCAAAGCCACACAAAGGGTACGGCTGATGTCGAGGATGGAGAGCTGGCCTCTGTGGAGCCGTCTCAGATACTGGCTTTTGTTAAAGCCTTGAGACTGTATGATGAGTTATAACGAGTTATAACTCATCATACAGTGTTCCCGAAAAAAAGGGGAACACACAATAGATCTGTAAGGTCGCGGTGATTAACTCCCCTCCTAAACATTCTACATTCAAAGCCACAAAGACTCTCACGATATGCAGAAGACTGGCGAGAAATAGATATGGGACTGCGCCGCTAACTTTTTGCGCTAGATGTATACCATGATAGTAAGACCCATGATTACTTGGAACAGTTATTTGGTATACAAAACTAGAGAAACTACCGCAAAACAAAACCTGTGCAAAATGTAGAGACTGGCACGTATCTGCATCACAGGAGCCATGAGAACCTGCACAACAGCAGCAAATAGAGAGAGGTCATTCTAGATCTAACACCACTGCACATTGCCATTGGGAGATATACGCCAGTGATTAGAATCTCTGTTATATGTGCAAGTGATTAGAATCTCTGTTACAATATAGTCATTGACGGAAAGAGTACTGGGAGAATCTTCCGCGCAGGATCTTGGGCCTTTAAAAGAAAAATCCACTCCTTCCAACTCCCAACCGTAGTATTGAACAATAGAAAGAATTGTATGGGAGAAACGTTTGCTTAGTAATTAAAATACAATACCATAACGTGGTATACCGCTTCCAAAATCAAAGCAGGAACAAGGATAAGGGGATTTGGATCTAAAACTAAATACTCCGAACCAATGGGCACCTACCACAACATCGTTTAGGCAGAAATATACGCTGTCGAAAGATGCGTATATCTTATTGGATATTAGATAGGTTCTATCAGAAACAAGAAATAGCCATCTTATCTGATAGTCATGCAGCCTTAAGAGCGATCAACTCAGTAACCATCAATTCAAAGTTGGTCCAAGAATGCCTAGAGAAGCTGAACAAATTAGGCAAAGAAAATACTCTAGATACCAGCCCACAAACCAGAACCGTTCTGCTTCCCAAGTGGAAACCAACTTAAAGCAGAACTCAAGCACCTAGAAGACTGGATACGTAAGCTGGAATAGGAATCCTTCAACAGTCTGACACACTGGAAGAAATTTCTCAGAACCGAGAAAAATTAAATAATTTCCTTGATTTAAGTAAGAACATTCTTGGGATTGTCACGGGGTTTTTAACAGGACACTGTCTACTCAATGAACACCTCAGTAGATTGAAGCTAAGAAGGAACAGGTTCAGGTTCTGTGAAGAAATGGGGAAACACCGGAACATCTCATCTCTGAGTGTGCCGAGACGACAGTCATTCATGCCATAAATTTTGGTATGTACTGTTATCGGAGAGGGAGCACTAGCCTCTGTAAAACAGTCTCAGATTCTGACTTCCGTCAAAGCCCTGAAACTGTATAGTGAGTACCTCAAGAAAAGGGCACACAATAAATCTATAAAGTCAAGTTGATTAACTTTCTCCTCCCATAAGTTGACAAGTTCAGAAAATTTTAGTTAAATGGATGTTTAACATTATACAGCCTCTTTTGCGACACCGTTTTGTAGGAAACCGAGGCATAAGGCTTCACGTTTAGTTTCTGTTATTTTCGAGGTGTCACTGTTCGAATTACATGTACATTTTCTTAGCAGTTGTTAGCATCAGTCTTACTACTACTACTACTGTCATTACTCGCTGACGAGTATTTGACACGCTTCAAAATGGTTACGCAAGGCGTTTCCTGTCATGAGCTTTTCTGTGACTGAAAAGCCCGATACGTGATGTTATCTCTCTTCCGCACTCCGGACATTCAAAAATCTCATTACTTTGTTGCCTCTTTACTTTTTGGTTGTCGTTATTAACTGAATTTACAATTCTCCCCCATTGCGTTCCATTGTGGGCTGCTTCCTCCCACCGATGCTGCATACTTATCCCCTTTAGGTTTTCATGAACAACATCCTTGTATCTTTTGAGTTGTCCACCCGGTTTCCTCTTACCCTCTACAAGTTCACCGTAAAGAAGAGATTTCGGTAGGCGGTTTTCTTGCATCCTGCATACATGGCCAGCCCATCTTAGCGAGATTTAGTAATCATGACTTCAGCGCTCTCGCAGCTTGCTTTTTTAAGGACTGATACGTTTGAGACATGGTGGTACCATTTGATTCTTAAAAGTTGTCTAAGGTGTCTTTGTTGCAACTTGTTTAATGCGCTCGTGTGCCGGCGGTACGGCACCCAGGTTTCGCTTCCATATAACATGGTGGGGATTATTACTGCTCGATACACTGCAAGTTTCGTTTTTGTGCTCAAGTCATGATTGTAGAAAACCCTGTCTTTTAACTTCCAGAATGCTCTTGAGGCGCTGCTGATTCTGTGCTGAATTTCAGAGTCGATATTTGCTTTTTCCGAAATCAAACTGCCGAGGTAATTAAATTCCGATACATATTCCAATAGTTCTTCTCCCATTTTTATAGCGCTGTTATGATTTTCCGGGGGAGTGCACATGAATTTTGTTTTATCGATGTTCAGTTTAAGGCCCAAAGTCTCGTATGCCCAGGTATATGTGTTCAGCATTTCCTGTAATTGCTGTAACGTATTTGCAACTAGAGCGCAGTCATCAGCGTATTGGAGTTCTGTGATGAATTTTATACGTGTTTTTGCCCTGAGTCTTTTTATGTTGAACAGACCGCCGTCATACCTGTATCTAACACCCATTCCTCCCTCCTGCAGTTTGCTGTCCACTATAATAGAGAGCGCTGCCATGAATATGTTGAATAGGAGAGGAGCTAGAACACATCCCTGCCTAACTCCTGTATTTGTCAGGAAGGGATCGCTCAGTGATCCATGATGTGACACTCTCGAGTTGTTGTTGTTATGGAGGCTTTTACACACACTAAGAAATTTGTTGGGCACTCCGAACTTTTGCATAATTGCCCAAAGTGCATCTCTGTTTACAGAGTCGAAGGCTTTCGTTAGGTCGATGAATTCAACATAAAGTTTACTCCGCTGTTCCTTTACTTTTTCCTGTAGTTGGCGGACGGAGAATATGGAATCAACGGTACCGCGGTTGGTGCGAAAGCCCGTTTGCGATTCTGGGAGGATTTTTTCTATATGTGGGTGAAGGCGGTTTGACATAATTTTTGCGAGAACTTTACCTCCGATAACCAGTAGTGAAATTCCTCGGTAGTTTCCGCAATCTGATGCACTTCCTTTGTTCTTAAATATATTTACTATATTCGCGTTGCGAAAGTCCTGAGGTACCTCTCCGCTTTCCCATATGACATCGAAGAGAGCCTTAAGATGACCAATAAGATCTTTGCTTGCACACTTATAGATTTCCGCTGGAATCGCGTCACAGCCAGCCGATTTGTTGTTTTTAAGTTGTTTTATGGAGGCCCTTATTTCCTGTTCCGTTATTGGGATATCTAATACATCAATGCTGTTATACTGAGGTATTGTGTTTAGTGCTTGCATATTGGGGATATTGTCTTGGTTAAGGATATAGCTGTAATGCTCTTTCGGGCGATTTCTGATTTGCTCTTCCTCTTTTAGAAGTTCGCCGTTTTGTGCCTTGATTGGGCAGCTTACGTTCTTAGTTGGGCCGTATAGTTCTTTTACAGCCTCGAGGAATTTACGATAGTCGTGATGCGCGGCGTACTCTTGAATCTGATTTGCTTTTTGTGACCACCAGTTATCCTTTAGTTGGCGCAGGTTTCTTCGAAGCGTGTTGTTGGATGCTTTAAAGTTGTCCACCAGCCTTGGATTGTGTGGATTTGCAGTGACTGCTTGATGTGCTCTATGCTTTTGTTCCAACAAAACCTGTAGGTATATAATAATAATAATAATAATAATAATTTGACTTTATGTAGGTGGCGAGGTCTAGCATACGCCACTCAATCTAACCACCTTAAAAAAATACAAAATACACATACAATACTAATACAACAATATAACAATTTTAATATACGAGGCATGTTTTTAAAGTAAGTACCGTTTTGGAATTAAAAAAAAACGTGCAAAGATATCGCAATAATTTTATTTTTACATGAAAGCCTGTACCTTAATCTACTTTTCTACATAATTTCCGTGAATATTGAGGCACTTGTCATAACGTGGCACCAGTTTTTCAATACCCTCCTCATAAAATTCTGCCGCCTGATTGGTTAACCACTGTATCACAACTGTTTTGACTTCGTTATCGTCTTGAAGACGCTGACCGCCCAGGTGTTTCTTCAAGTGCAGGAATAAATGGTAGTCACTGGGCGCCAGATCAGGGCTGTATGGAGGATGATCAGAGTTTCCCATTTAAAAGATTTGATGAGATCTTTGGTCCGATTAGCCACATGTGGACGGGCATTATCATGCAGCAAAACAATACCCTTACTCAACTTGCCACGTCTTTTGTTTTGGATTGCACGGCGCAGATTGTTCAATGTCTCACAATAAGATGCTGCCTTGACTGTCTCATTACGAGGCAGAAACTCCACTAGCAATACTCCTTTTCTGTCCCAAAAAACTGCACATGATTCTCCGGGCAGAAATTGTTTGCTTAAACTTCACTGTTTTGGGTGATGATGAATGTCGCCATTCCATGGACTGTTGTTTCGATTCTGGTGTTTCGTAGGCCACCCATGTTTCGTCACCAGTAACAATTTTGTCTAAAAAATCTTCACCTTCATTGTGGTACTGCTCAAGGAAAGTCAATGCACTGCCTAAACGTTGGGTTTTGTGCAAATCCATCAACATTTTCGGAACCCAACGTGAACACAATTTCCGGTAATTCAAGTTCTCGGTCACAATGCGATACAAAACACTACGAGAACATTGAGGAAAGTAGTCGCACAATGATGAAATTGTAAAGCGTCTGTTTTCTTTCACCTTTTCGTCCACTTTCTGCACCAAATCTTCATTAACGACCGAAGGACGCCCACTCCGTTCTTCATCATGCACATTTGTGCGGCCATCCTTAAATGCTCTCACCCATTTCCTTACCATTCCATCACTCATAATGTTTTGTCCGTAAACTTCACAGATCTCACGATGAATATCGATCAGTTTTACACCTTTAGCACTAAGAAATCGTATGACAGCCCGTACTTCACAATCGGCGGGGCTCACGATTGTCGGAGGCATCTTAAACACTCAATAAACAACGTATACAATGAAGAATCAGACTATACTGACGTCTGTGCATAGACAAGAGATGTAGGTAACCAGCGCGCATGCGCGGAAAGCCGACCGTAGCGCTGCGGCGGCGGAATCGCAAAACGGTACTTACTTAAAAAACATGCCTCGTAATATAAATCTAAATTATATAAACGAACAAAAAAAAAGACATATAAAACACCCATACATGAGCTTAAGATACAATTCAATAATACTTTTATAAAGTTAAGTTGAAATCAACAAGAGATTTCCTAAAACCTGCAATGGACGAACAGCTTTTAATGTGCGGAGGAAGTGAATTGTAGTATTTCGAAGCATAATACGAAAACGATTTTTCAAACAAGGCTGTCCGGTGTTTAGGCACCACATAACTGCTGCGTTTTCTGGTATTAAGGTCGTGGAGGTCAGCTGATATAGCTAATATGTGGTTGATTTTCGTTAAACCAGTCTGGTTGTTTCTTTTTGTTGGATTTTCCCAGTATTTCTTCGCTCGTATTATAAATCGCATCCCTCAATTGTATCCAGCCTTGTTCAGCTTCGGAGATTGAGGTTATCGGTGGAAGTGCTTCTCTGATGGCTTCCCGGAGGGCGTTGGCGGTGTCGTTGTTCATTAGACTCCGTACGTTTAATCTGGTCATTTTGTTTTGCTTTTTGCAGTGTGGATGTTTGGGTTTTAATTGAAGTTTCATTTTCGAAACTATGGTCAGTACCACATTCGGCATCTATTCTGGCTTTTGTAAGTCTGACATCTTTCAGATGCTTCCTTCGAACGATGACGTGGTCCAATTGATGCCAGTGGCCTGATCTGGGATGTTTCCAGGTCCCTTTAAACTTGTCTTTCAGCTTGAACCATGTATTGGTGATGCAAAGGTTGTACTCTGTGCATGTTGTTAGCAAGCGTTCACCATTGCTATTTACATTTCCCATTCCATGTTTTCCCAATACGTCTGGCCATATTTCTTGCTGATTGCCGACACGTGCATTAAAGTCACCTAGCAAGATGATTCGCTCCTGCTTTGGAATTCGTTGGAGGGCATTTTGTAGATCTTGGTAAAATTTATCCTTTTCCTCAACCTTAGCGACTAGGGTGGGAGCGTTGGCACTAATGATATTGACGTAGGTTTTCTGATATGGGGTACCTTAGGGTCATGACACGTTCGGAGACTCCAATAGGCACTTCTGTTAAACTGGTGGCGATTTCGTTTTTGACAGCAATGCCTACGCCATGAATTCTACTGTGTGTGGCAGGGTGACCCTTCCAAAAGAAGGTGTAATGCTCCTCAGTGGGACTACCTTCATCTGCAAAGCGGGTTTCGCTAAGAGCGGCAACATCTATACTTAGCCGGTGGAGTTCCTGTGAGACCAGAGCAGTTCTTTCTGGTCGATTAGAGTTTGGCCTGTCCAGGAGAGTGCGGACGTTCCACGCCGCAAACGTTGACGCTGCTTAATTCTCCGATGATACGCTCGAGTAGGCACCCCCTCCCGGAGATCCGATCCAGGGGATATTTTACCTCCGGACGATGATTTTGTCCCACTCGAATGTTCCATCTTTGATGAGTGTTAGCTGCGTAAAAGGGTTAAACTGTGACGGTTACGCTGCCGCACAGTTTGGCTGCAACTGTAGCACGGGATGACTATGGCACAGTGAAGACTGATACGATAGTTCCCTTGTGCTACGTTCTCGGCCGGGTAGGAGTAGTCTACTTCTTCTCTTCCCCAGAACGATGGTAGATCTGAGGGTTGTATAGCGTTATACCGCCTATACTCGGACGCCAGAGCCTCGTTTGTGAAAACAGGGTGCACCACGTGAAGGTGAGGTTGACTTTTGGGTAAGCTCGGCTATATGTATCGCTTCAATACCCCTTACACCCCTTCATCAGTCTTAGGCAGTCGACTATAAAAATTTTATGGCAGTCATAGGCAGTCTCCTTTGCAGTTATTGGCAGTCCCTGGGCAACAAAATTATATTTTGGCAGTACGTGTACATTTTTCCCCAAGTGAGACACCCCTGTGTTATTTTATTTTAGTATAGTAGGAAAAAAAAACGATATAAACTACTGTGTGATATAATATATTTAACATAAATTTAAGCAACAAGGTTGGCATAAAAGGTAATTAGATTTTTTTTATGTTTTATTACTATATACAAAAAATTATGTAGGTATTACATGCCTATAACACTATAGTAATACACCATAGAATGATTGCTAGTATATATTCTCAAGTTTACTGAAATTATTAGAGGCGTTCCAACAAAGAAAGGTAAAAATGATATTAAAAACTTACATATTAAATTTCTAAACATAAGTTACTAGAAATGGATATTTCATGAGAACATTTAGATAGGAATGTGGCTGTGGAGGCGAAGGAATTAGCTAAACTGGAACGTGAATCCGTTCGGGAATCCACCAAAACTATATTCGGCGCCAGCACCGCCGGGGGCTCCACTGAAGAATGTTCGGAAGACTTGGTTAGGGTCGACGTCTGGAAAGAACAATGCATGTTTAAGTCCAGATTATTATAGCGCATATAAGAAATACTCTTAAAAGGCTAGTAAAGATTTTCAGCATCCGCCAAGAGAGTGCGACGGCAACAACATACACAATGCTATAAATAAGCGTAGACGGGGGCATTCAAATCAACCTATCAACTATAATATACTAAGCTCTCGTGACTGCTTTCCTTATGTACAGAATTACGCGTCCTACGCCGCTGTTTGAAAGGTTGTTTAATTTTTTACGAAAATTATGAATTATTAGCAATGTTTAAAATATGTTATCTTCTGCTCTTTAGAAATTAATATTGTTTTATTTTTAAATTTTGAGGTAATTACAGTACTCTAAATATACAGGGTGAGTCTTAAATAAGTGCAAATATTTTCAGGGTTATTAGATCTCGATAAAAGAAATATATTTTCTCTTTACCGTTTTTCAAATAAGTCCAAAATAACCCAGTTATTTAAAAATCTAAAAAAAAAACGATTCTTTGCTTAAATTTTGAAACCAGTGGATCTTTACTGAGTTTTCTTTTTTGTAAATTTAATCTACTACCTATGCTGCCATATTATCAAGAAATTATGTTTTTTAACTAAAAAATATCCCAATTTTTTTTTAAATTCCAAATTTTCAATTTTTTTCGCGAAGAAAGCCTCATAGACATGTCTCTAGGGTCGAAATATACTACCCCTAAAAATATTTGCATTGTATATTTAAAACTCACCCTGTATAGTAGGTATTTTGAGTCGAAAATATTTTTAAAATTTTTCTTTTTAAACAAAATTTATTTGCCCATCTTTAGTGTTGCATTAAAATAAGAGTGAAAAACACCCAACCACATTTTTGCGCCCTAATGTAGTAGTAAAATGAAAATGACATCTTTTCTCTAGAATTTTCGCTAACTTACCTTTTTTACCAAAAAGCTACACTACATAGAAGTGAAACGTAGCGCTATCATTAGTAGCAAATAGATGAAAACAAACATAATTTTTATGACGCGAGGTCAATCTCTAGACGCCATTTACTAAAGAGTGACAACATCAAAAATTAAAACTAATTATAGGAAGATTAAAAAATGATAGAATCTTTCCACACAAATCTATTTCCATCCAGACCATTTAAAAATCATTTTTACTCATAAAAATAAATTACAATCTTCTTAAGGCAAACTGGCAGTCAGTGTCATTAAAAAATAAAGAAGAGTACGAGCCAACTAACGACGTCTAGGGCTTGACCTCGGCAAAATTATTATCGATTTTCATTCCCCAGCCGTCTTTGAAGCCGTTTTTTTTATCGTATGGTACATATTGTATTGTCGGCTTTATGACGAAAAGGCAAGTATCTCGATTTTTGCAACTTTTGAGGAGAGCAATTAAAAATTCTAAATATTTATTAATTCTAGCATTTAGCATAGGGCAATTTTTTAAAAGAATATAAAATGAATAAGGTAGACGGGGATAATAACTTGAGATACAGCCAGTTTTCCATGCTAAAAAATGACCCATTGAGCATGTGATGAAGTTGATATCTCGAAATTCCCAAAAATCGAGATACGCCCTTTTCGTTATAAAGCCGACAATATACAGGGTGGTCCGAACTGTATTCCGGAAACTATGGCAGCATATTCTGCAGATAAAAATAAGTAAAAAAGTTCGTATAAATGTATGTCCTAAAATGCTTTGTTTCGGAGATACAGGGTGTAGAAGTTTCATTTTTATTTCGATTTTTTCCAAATAATTTCTGAAATAAAGTCAATATTTGAATGAAAATTGGTGTCTGGTAGTTTTTTGACATGAGAAATTTGATTTTGATGTCAATATGGCTCCTACTAGTAGAGGGCGCCACCTACATATTTTTTAACCAATTTGAAGAGTAATAATTTTTCATCCGTACCTGTATAAAACTACTGAGTAAAAAATATACATTTACGACGTTTTTTCCGTAAAAAAGGTCTCTTGGTAAAAATCGCTACGAGTAATGGGTTTCGAGATATTTGGAATCGAAATTATCAATACCTGTCATCATTGACTTTAATTAAACATGTTGGCTAAATAGTTATTAGACTGAAATCATAAATATGAAATGTTCTTGTGCCAAAAGTTCAACAGAAACTGTTTTATCATCATTTTTTGCAGAAAAATTTGATTTAAAAAAAAAAATAAAAATTTCCCATTATTTATTATTTCAGTGAACTAACCATCTACTCAACGTGTTTATTTTTCGTAATGACATGTATTGACTATTTCCATTCTAAATATCTTAAGAACGGTTGCTCGTAGCGATTTTTACAAAGAGACATTTTTTACGTAAAAAGTCACAGAGATGTATAATATTTCGTTGCTCGGTAGTTTTATACAGGTACGGACAAATAGTTATTACTCTTCAAAACAGTTAAAACACATATAGGTAGCGCCCTCTACTAGTAGGAGTAATATTGACATCAAAATCAAATTTATCATGTCAAAAAACCCTCAGACACCAATTTTCTTCCAAATATTGACGTTACATCAGAAATTATTTGGAAAAAATCGAAATAAAAATGAAACTTCTACGCCCTGTATCTCTGAAACTAAGCATTTTAGGACCTATATTTATACGAACTTTTTTACTTATTTTTATCTGCAGAATATGCTGCCGAAGTTTCCGGAATACAATTCGGACCACCCTGTATAGACATAATTTTATTGTTAATAAAACCAAAACTTTAGTAATACCGAAACTACGAACCACTGCACATCACAGGACATAAGCGTATCCGACGTGTTTAACACTAACACTGATCTTAAAATAACATTGAATAACATTGAATATCACTGGCGAAACATCGATGTTTTTAAAACGTCGATAAGAGCGCCCAACACTAGTGTAATGTGATATACAAGCGGCTACGACAAAAGATTGGGGATTGTCGGTATACCTTCTATCTCTCTTGCTCTCCTACCAGTATATGGTTTTCTATTTCACAGTCTTGGTGAAAGAATTGTGTTAAACGGTGTTTACACTAGATGCAATTGGATGCAACGCAATTTTTAAAAATGGCATGCAATTCGGTTGTACGCGCAATTTACCGTTTACATAGGGTGCAATAAAATACATGCTATAATTTTGAGAATCTATTGTGCCAACCTAAATAAAATGAATATAACAACTGTTTCATTTATTTTTTTATTTTATCTTCGAGGCATCGTTATGTATGTCTTATTAAAGGTTTTTAGATTTTGTAGTTTGAGTTTCTATCTTAATTTATTATTATTTGTACCTATAACAAGAATTGTAAAACAGAAACTATATTATTTTAATTATAAAATTTGATTTTTTTCGGTTGGTAGAAGCAAAAATTGCATGCTACGTGCAATCAAATTAGCGCGTGTTCTAATTCCATGCAATGCAATGAAAATTGCATCAGCTGATCGAAAAGTGTGAGGTGCGCATGCGTTCGGGCAACTAAAATTGCCATTGCACCGTATTGCACGTAGTGTAAACAGGCCTTTATATATTATTATATACTAGCCTTATAAGAGTATTACTTATATTGTTACAACAGGATAAAATATAAAAATATCACTTTTGCTACTTTTACACAGGGTATAAATGGTACTTTTTAATATAGGTAAAAAAATTTAAGAAAATATTTTACCTGACATGCCTCCATCAAAATCTTCCATGTCTTGACCGCTATCGTAACGAGCTTTTTTCTTGGCGTCAGAGAGTATGCCATATGCTTCACCTATTTCCTTGAATTTCTTTTCCTGTTCTTTCTTCTCGGCGTCTGTGGCATTTGCATGTCTGTCTGGGTGGTGAACTAAAGCTCTCTTTCTATAATAAGTCAAATAACGGCCTCATAAAACACCCCTTAATTGGATAACCTTCTACTGATATTAGGATAATGAAAATTGAGGATTAAATAAAATTAAGAATTAAAGAAAATATGTCCATAGCGCTATAAAAGACCAAAACCACAAAGAAATTAATGCAAATGAATGGTTTGTATGCTTCCCAGCGAAAATGATGAATCTGTCACACACGTGTTCAAGAATGGTGTATAAATTTTAATAATAAAACGCATATTAAGCTCTCACAAACTAGTTTTATATGGGCTTATCATACTGTTCCATTTTCGTTTGTTACTTCCTAGTTAACCGTATTTTAAAATCGTCCAACTCTTACGTTTCTGATATTTAATAAAAATAATTAAATGGTGCTCACAATTGCAATTCTTTATTGTATAAAAATTACTTTGCCGATTATGTTCAACTTTGTTTTGAACACCAGGATGAAAATAAGCAGTGATTATGTAATCGTCGAGTGTCGCGACGTGTCCAGGTGTTCAGGCTGAAAGCGCCAGTTTAGCGTGTTTTTTACATTTCTAGTTTATAAAATGGCTTTAACGAGAGCAGTTTATTTAATGATACCATTAGAAATGTCATATTCTGCATTTAAATAATATACAAAAAGTTGGAGAACCAACTTATTAAAAATAAAGAGACGTTTAAATAAAGATATTATAAATTTCAAACATATAGAATAGAGATAGATATAATTTCTTTAAATAGCCGATTACGGATGTTTATATTTCTATATTGTGACAATTTTGTGTCCCAAAGTGCATGTCTTGCCTGGACTTCGGTGGCTCTGGCGTCAAAAATTCAGATAGATTTGACGCCCGACGTTCAGCGAACGCTAGTACAACGTCAAACGCGACGCTTTTTGCCTGAACGGTCTAATTTAAGTTAAGCGAACTGATTCCACTTCAACGTGACGCTCGACGATCTCAGCCCGAATGTACCTTTATAGTTATTTCGAAGAATAGTAATTTTTTCCACTGAAAAACATGTCAAAACTTGTAAATTTAAAAAACAATAAAAGATTGACGTCAATAAATTGACATCATTTGCTAAAATTTTTCGATTTATAATTTGTTGTAGCATCAGTAATCAGTACCAATCACTAAACCTACAATTCTCTAAGTTTCAGTATTGCCAACTATGTCGACCATTGTTGATTGTTCCTTATTATTTGCATAATTAAAAAACGTGGTACAAAGAAAACAAGGTATGATCGATAGCGGCTCCAATTTCGTTAATTTTGCGCATACCACCTGTGACGTCATACGCCATACAAAAAAAATATCCATATTGTTCAATTGCCACTAATAAAAAAAGACCTAAAATAGGAAAGAATTAGGACATAACCCCAAAAGTTATGTTTTGACATTATTTTTGACACAATCAAATTTCACAGATGACACAATCTGTTTGACAATTTGAAATTGGCGCGCAGAGCTTGCCGACCCATGGTGCCGTTTATCACCTGTGACGTAGTGACCAACCTGCGCAATAGCATACCTTGTATGCTTTGTATCATGATTAAAAAAATATGCTTACTTATATGCTCTCTTAATTTCGTCTTCATTAGCATTTCGCTCCACTCCCAGTATTTTATAATAATCTTTTCTTTTACTTTTTTTAAGCGCCAATTTAGCCTCTTGCAACAGTCTTTTATTCTCACGACTCTTATCCATTTTGCATGCTTTCTCATAATCCCTATTAAAAAAAGACTTCAAACTCTAATAAAATGTTAATTGAGTTAACAACTTACCTGACTGCGTCTTCATATTCTCCAATATCCATGTAGCACTTTGCTCGCCTTAAAAGAGCTTTAAGGTATGTGTCATCTAAATTTAACGCTGCAGTGCAGTCTTTTATAGCATCTTTGGGTTTTGTAAGTCTCGATAAAGCAGTAGCCCTATAAATATTAAAAAAGAATAACAATTTTCCAAAACACTGTTTTTTTTCTTACCTATTAAAATATAATTTTGCGTTTGTTTTTTTGTTGAGTGGGTCAATTTCCAAAGCTTCCGTATAAAGTTTTACCGCTTCCAAAAATTTGCATAATTTGAAAGATTCATTACCGTCTTCCTTTTTCTTTTTCAATTGTTTTGCTTTTTTGTATTGTTCCATAGCTTTGGCATGATCAGGGGCAAGTCTCAAAACCTAAATTAAAACATAAATTTGTTGTATTAATTTTAATACTAAAAATTAATAAAACTACCTGTTGAAAGTGGTTGAAAGCTTTTTCAATATTATCTTCATAATAAAGACACAATCCTCTTACAAAAATAGCATCAGCACTGCCCTTATTGAAGTGCAATATATCATTAGCAATTTCTTGTGATTCTTGATATCTAGCGAATGAAAAAATATGTGTTTTATCTGGATTGTTTATCCTATACAGTTAATTTAAGATAATTAAACACATGAAAAAAAAATGTTTTTAAACTTTCTCAGAAATACAATTTAATTAAAAAACGGCGTCAGAGTATGCATGGAAATGACCATCCATGCCATTTTATATGTAAAATTATATAGTGAATATCATTGTTCGTCGTTTCCAAGTCGAAGCTAACTCTTATATGATTTAAGTATGTTATTTAGTGACAGAACTCAGTTTTAAATAGCACAAGTGCACGCTTTTTTGAGAACACTTTTAATAATAACAGTAGTAAAAAATATTTAATTGTACTTACATTGATAATATAATTATAGTTTTATATTTTGTTGAAAAATCAAAATTGAAGCCGAAATAATTGAAAATATAGGTTGGAAAGGAAAAAAAATATTCTGTTTTTATTAGATTTTTTTCATTTTTACAATTTTACGTTTTTTACCTATGTTTTACACCAAAATGTAGAAAAAGCAAGAGAATCCATCCATCCCCAGAAAGTGGTAAATTTTCCAAATTATATCAAAAATGAATTTAAATAAAGTTATATATCATATTTAAAATTACAGCTACTATAGAAAAAGGAATCTTATTTTTTCCCCTTATAGCCTGTATTCGGATACTACAACACGCTTGAGTGAAAATACCTAGTTCAAAACATGCTTATAGAAAATTAAATCTTTTAGGGCAATTGTAGAAAATTGCAACAATTTTTGAAAATACTTAAAACAAACTATTTAAATGTAAAAATTACAGCATAGAATTTGATCCAGGTCAAAATATTGTATTCATACCTACTAAAAGTACAGACTGCCATTAATACAAATAAAATACAATTTGTTATTAATATATTGAAACATATGCATAGATACGATAAAACAGTGTTAAGTAAAAGGTTTCGTAAATATGTATTTACAATAAAAAAAAATAAAACAATATTCTAATTTTCAACTGTTTCTGTACAATTATTAATTATTTATAAATAATTTTCTCCATTGGATAGCACTTTAAATTAATTTTGTACAGTAAGTTATGAAAAAACTTGACTTTGTTTTAAAACCAAACCAAACCAAATAACATATATTTCAACTAATTTCTTATCAGTTTTAAAACATCCACTACACTTCTCGCGAAATAGGCTGAAGTAGGCCAAACTCGAATGGTGAAGAGGGATATTTCGTGTTTCCTCGTCTAATGAAAATAAACGGAGACGTAGAAATACGGTATAAAAGAGTAAATTGATTTTTAAACTGCCTCTACACACAGAAGTAGATTAAGGTCGAATAATGACGAGGGATATGTCGTATTTCCTCACCCAACTTTGCCTCGTCTTGGCTTATTCTCATTAGACGAGAAAACGTGAAATAACCCTCTTCACCATTCGACTTTGACCTAGGTCGGCCTATTTCGAGAGTAGTGTAGTGGCCCTTTTTAACATTCAAGAATAAAAAATGGAAACTGAGAAGGTAAAAATTAAACTTATTTCTTATAGGTGTCCAATTATCTTGAACACACATTATCATTCTGCTGATATAATAAAATAAAATCAAAAACTAACCTTCCCAAAATAGCCAAACACTCGGCTTTTGTCAATTTAAATCTTTCACATGTTGGAGCTTCATCTAAACATCTATCCATACAGTAAACTACTTTTCGAAAATCCTTAACCTCCAATGCCTTTGCCGCTTCTTGATCGTACTGCTTAATTTTTTCTAAAGATCGTAATTCTGCAGCCGTCGATCCAGGTTGTAGTTTTTCAGCCTGTTTGGAGGCGTTTTCTGCCATTACCAAATCGCCCAAGGCAATTCCGCATTTGACAATACGAACATATCTAGAAAAATATAAATTGTATATTGCATTGTATATTTATATTATATATACCAAACCAAAACATATTGGTTTATTTAAAAACACTGGCTAAACAATTGTTTTCGGTGTTGTTAGTCTATACAAAAGTATACCGTCATTCGCCGGAATGATATTTCTATATCTGTAAATGCCAGTAGAAAATTGAGTTAATTTGTCGTTGACGGCGGCATATTGTAATTTAACATCAATTATAGTCATATAGAAATCAACTAACTTCTAGCCGCAACTTACTATCCGGAAATTAAGATCAAAGCTGATCTAAACAGCAGCTGACTGAAAATTTGATGTGAAACATTCAGTTTTAAAATCAAAACATTCAAAGCAATCAAAACTCATTCGTGCAAGTTTGTGTCGACTGGATAGAGTTACTGGTAGCGGCTAGAGGCTTCTGACGACGTGTGTCTCAAAGAAGTAATGACTTGGCGCTTAACATTTGTTAGTCATAAAAATTTGATATACAATTCAGTTTTAATATCAAAATATTCAAAGCAATCAGATGGGCATTAATCAAACAGAGGTAAAGAAAAGAAAAAAGAGTAAAAAAAGTGTTTTATTTGCTAGAGCTGTAGCTGTAGACAGTTACAGCTACAATGTTGCTAGAGCTGCTTAACTTAACTTAAGGTAAACTGGCCTCCAAATCATTACTATTTTGAGTCCAAAGTTTTGTTCAAATTACTAGGTCTAGTCGCGGAAGAATCTCGAACTAACCAATCACATATCTTAAAGTCAGTTTAGAATTTATCAGCTTGTATATAAAATCATTAAATTTGATTTTATCCGCGAAAACACATACTCATTAGATATTATTATTCCACTGAATAATCGTTAATCAATCTAAGTACTCATTTTTTACCAAATATAAAAATATTGTTATTTATTTAAGTATAATATCACAGATAACACATAATCCAGATGGCTCCTTACGTGTTAAAAATTGTCACCCTAATTTCACTCCAATTTGGAAAAATATTGGAGTGACATTTGAATAATCTGAAATTTTTAGATTTCTTTTCTCACTTTTTTGGGAGGTTTTGCTTCTCTTGCACAGATGTCGCTTGCACTTCAGTTGCGTGGTTGCCAAACGTTATATCGAAATATATTTCATTTCATTATGAATATATAAAATTAAAGGTACTATACCAAATTAAAAATTATGTAATTTATAAACATGAAATAGATATGTTAAATTAATATATAAATATTTAACTTAATACGTTCATTATTATTTTATTAATCTATCGTCACACGTCAATTACCAGTTCCCTAATTACGAAAAGTTTCATATGACATTAACCTCAAAAATGATCTTTGAAAACAAACAACAACAAACAGAGCAACAAATGAACAAATAACTACATAATGACTGATAATGATAAGTGATTATTATTATCACTTTAATGATATGAAGGCTGATGAAGGTAATTATAAACATTATTTCGAGTTTGTTTAATAAAATATAGGATACAATATAACTAAGCAAAATCAAACAGTTTTAGACAACCAATACAAGATTTTAGAACTTGACATCGTGATAAACAAATTGTACATTCAGGAACTCGTTTAAATATTATAGGTAAGTAATATTTTCACAAAACTAACATTTTAGCATAAAATCACAGATAATATATAGAATATTACTTATGATAAAATGTTAAATACTGATGTATATTTATTCTAATCACATTTAAATTTAAACTCAAAATTTTCATAAAAAGAAAATGATAATTTTTCGTAAATATAAAGTAAATAATATTACATATTTCAGGTTGATTGACGAATATTCTACAGTTGATTAGAGCCCATGATGATGCGAAGATAATTAATATCACCTAACTTCAAGAAACCAGCGTAAAGAAGTTTACATTCACAACTCATCTAACCATTATAGGTAATAATTTACAAAATTAGTCATTTTTGATTATAATATTAAGGTACTTAGGTACATTTTTATCTTCTAGTCAGTAATGTCATCATAATTTAAATGAACTCACAGATAGCAATGGGGCACTGCACCGAAGCAGTATTACAAAATATGTGAAATAAAACTGTAATACAAATTGCTCTATAAAATTTAATAGAAATAAATTTATTTATGAAAATTAAGTTATGAAGTTTTATTTTTCCTAGGAAAAAAATAACATTTATATTTTGATCAATTTAGAACATTACAGTTAAAAAAATATGTGTTAGAATAACATATTTTTAATAAAATTGCAGCTTTTAATTTTTATACTTTTTTGCTTTTATATCAATAAGAACTAACGTAAGGAACAATTCATATTTATACCACAGAACAGATACAAATGTAGTCTATATTTGTATCTGTTCTGTGTTATACTATGAAAACACATGCATATTTTTGATGTTTTAAAACCAGTGAATGATGTTGAAATATACTACACCTATTATTCTTATTAACTAACTTTAATTACAAACTTACACATTATTGTCATTGGAAATAAATTAATTTGGATATTCTATTTGTTTAGAAACTTTTTTACCTATTGTAGTTTTTTAAAACCTACTTGATTTAAAACAAAAAATGTCACCTGTTATGACAAAATAAGGTCTTTTTACCAGAAAACAATCTAGTGAGCTTTTCTAATAATACTTTATTTGATATACCATATGATCGAAAAACGGCGTCAGCGATGGCTATGAAATGAAGATCGCTGTCATTTTAAATGTAAATTTATATGGGAAATGTCATCGATTGCCATTTCCCAGCCAACGGGACGCCGTTTTTTTTCGATCATACGGTATAATATGTATTCCCATCTGTTAATCTTTTTATTTTAAGGAAGATTTAGGAAGGGTAGCTTAAAACATGTTTGTCAATCAATTATCTTTATATGTCGTTTGTAAAAATATTTTACAGTAGTAGAAAATAAAACTGTTTTTAAGGCGAACAGCTTCTTTGCTAAAATATTTTTTTGGTCCCAATACATATAATGATTTACATTTTTTTTTTAACTTCAAATAATGAATTTAATGGAAAAATTGCAAGTCATAAAAACGTTCTAAATATACAAATCTATCCATTTTTTCCATATCGTTGCTCCAGTTTTTTGTCAAATTAACGAATATTAGAAATAGTTTATTTCAACCTCTCAGCTTATTTTAAAAATGTTGACAAAGAATACACCCCTTAAAGTTTCGCATTTGTCTTGATATACTCTGTATAAGACAACAGTAAATAACTTGTAATATAACTTCGAAATATAAATTTGAAATTAAAATAATGATTTGTTCATAAGTGATTTATGTTCATAAGTGACGTTTTATTAATTTTGATTTTTTTTCTTAAATTTAATTTAAAAGTGATTTACGTTATTTATTAATTGAAACGTTTAAAATTTGAGTATACGTTCAAAATTTTTTTTACAATAAATTTGTTTATGATAAATAATTTTATAATAAAAATATGACCGAATTTCCTGGAAAGTTTGCCAAATTTGTACATATGAAAACCTAGCTTTACCACTTATCACAGAAAATCTCTATTCCTTCCCTTATCACAGAATAATACAGGAACGAACCATATGCGACAAAGATAGAAGATTTAGATATGTCGTTACTGTTTTTTGTTTTTAATGGATATTTTAAAAGCCGGGTAATATATGGTAATCTGTGATGGTAATATACTATATACCTTTGACTGTCTTTGATTACAACTGTGTGATTAGTGATAATTATTATTAAAATGTCTGGTAATAAGTGTCAATTTTACAATTGTGAGATTTCTCGGAAATCAGGTGTACATGTGTTTAAGTTTCATGCGTCAAGAGATCCTAATTTATGTACAAAGTGGATAGAAAATTGTGAGTTCATTCATATAGAATTTTTTTGCACATTTTGTATGTAAAAATACGGCGTTAAGTTACCTTAGAAATGGTGATCGATGGCTTTTACCATATACCGTATGATCGAAAAAAAAACGGCGTCAGCGATGGCTATGAAATGAAGATCGCTGTCATTTGATATGTAAAATTATATGGGGAATGTCATCGATCGTCATTTCCAAACCAATCGGACGCCGTTTTTTTTTCGATCGTAGGGTATAATTTAACACATTAAGAGTTGTCCATCGTTATATTTCTATATCTATGCAAAGTTTACGATGGATAAATCAAGTAATATTAAGTGGATACAAATTATAAATGAATCAGTGAATATAAACTGTTATAAATTATAAGTAGGTAATGCAGTTAGTGAATATACCGTACGATAGAAAAAAAAGGCATGGGAGTGGGCTTGGAAATGAAGATCGCTGTCGTTTAATAGGTATGTAAAATTATATGATAAATCTTATCGATTGTCACTTCCAAATCAACATGACATGCATCTGTACATCATTAATCTCACGACTAGAGTTTCCTGAAATCCCGAACTCCCAGGATCCCGGCGGCGTGTATGTTTATCTCCGAAATCCCGATATTAAATTCCGGGATCCCGAAAATCCCATAAAATTTAAATGTCCAATCTAAAATGATTCGACTTTATACACCTTTCAAAGATCAACAAAACAAAGTAAAATTCATATTTAGTAAGTAAAAAAATGCAGTTTCAGACAATAGTTTGGTTTGGTTTGGTCGAGTTTTGTTAACACTGTCTAGTCTGGGCTTTTTTATTTGATATATGTTAATCAAATAAAAGCCCAGATAGATAAAATCAGGAGCTAACTAATAGAATCATATCAATTCTCCCTGATGTAGGATAAGTTTCTATTTTCGGAAAATTTCTTAGATTTTTTTGTTTCAACTGACGAACTGACACAAAATGATAACTAGTTGCTAAAGTTGAACTAATTTGACAGCTATGTTGAAGTAACGTCAGACATATCACAGCCACCCTAGATTTTATCAAATAATAAAGATCTATTCACACTAAATCATAGAAATGAAAATATCTAGGAAAATCTTTGTTTGAGGGGTAGGCCGGCAACCTTAATAGTATTTGGAA